CACACAAATGCACCAACTGTAACCTTGGTGTAACTTATTTGTTTACAAATGTGACCCTGAGTAATCCTGGTGTGAGCACACACAATTGGTGCACATTAGGGATATGCATGTGCAACAGAAGAACTTTGGTACACTTAAGGTGCTCAGCAGGGTCACTGTGAAGAATTACAAACATATCCCCAGTGTGCACCAATTTCCCCACTTGGGTGCTGAAAGAAGAAAAATGGTCCATGAAAAAATATTCCTTCTTCTGCAGACAATTCAACATAGGGACACTCATTTTATCATAAAAAATTAATAAAAATGACCCAACATCAGGACACTGACTCAACATAGGGACATTATGTTACAAAATTGCAAATATGTTCCAGGCCAAATTGCAAGAAAAAGATATTACCACCCTAAAATTGATGTAAGAAAAGTTCTTTGCAGGCATTTCTCTCACCAATTTACCATCCATTTTGCTAATTTAAAAAAATTACCTCCAGAAGAGAGGGACTTCCTTCTCTCTTTTTCACTTGAATGTTTTTTAAACAGAGCATGTCAACATTTCTATGTACTGTACAGAGGTATCAGTATTAAATTCTCCAAATGCCCATATTCTGCTGAAATATATTGATTGGAATCAGTTACAATTGGGAGACAATTTTTTATCTTCATGGAATTATGGTGAGTATTTTGTACATAAAAAACCAATTAAAAATTATATAATGTAAGTCTAAGGAAAAATGAGACTCAACTTAGGGACATTTTGACTTGGGGACACTCTTGATGCACCAATTATGTCTGCATCTCAGGGTCTCACTGTATGTATATATTCGAAATAGGCAACACTGGAGAAGCTCTTCGACGGATCCGGTGATTTGAAAGCAGTGCCGTTGGTCTCCGAAGAGACCCGTTGCGGCCTGGAGCGATGGTTGGCGCAACAAGTGCGCCAGCTGGCCACGACGAGCCACAATAACAACAAGGGCCCTGTCGGCGGGAATGTTAGCCCCGACTGCGGTGGCGGGCCTTCGGGCCACTGTGGTCCGAGTACAGCGGAAGTGCATCTGGCGCCGTGTGCGACTGTGTCTGCTGCACAGCCACCACATCCACCACCACCAGCAGCAACGTCTACAATAGTGTTACCGCCGCCGCAGCAGCAGCAACTACCGCCTCCAGCACCTGCGCCGCCTATTCCCCCGCCGCCGCCGCTGCCGCTGAGGTTGAATACGCCGCACTTGTGGCATCATCCGTCGCCGATGTTTCGGCCGTTGGTGCCGAACGGGGCGCATGATGGCCATTTTGAGATCAAGGTACGGTATTGTACCGTGCAGTATTTATAGATGGTGTCTCCATCTACCGTATTTACGCGAGTTCTCAGCGCCCCATCTTTCGGCCTTTATATTGGGTGTGCGTCCGTCATTTTGTGAGGAGTAAAATTACGAGGTTATGAAATGTTCAAAATGTAATTTCAATACAGCCTTACAATACTGTAATCGAAAATTCCCCATTGGAAAGCCGATATTATTTTTATTTTTTTTTAATTAAGAGAGGAAAAAGCGGGCATGCGTCATTATATGCAGGCGGGTATGAATTCTAACAAATGAATTCCAGGCGCACGTCATATATACTGTACTTGATTGGTGGGAGGTTTTTAATAATTTTGAGAAATATTTTTAAATAGAAAAATTAATACTAATTCAATTCGGGTCCCATTCAAGTCGTGGTATGAATTTCGACGCGTTATATTTTCCAAAATGTTTCAAATTTCTGTCGCTAAAAAAATGGGCGCACGACTTCCTCGGGAATCGGTTTTTATCCAAATTTAAGGATGAAAAAATCGGATGCTCGTGGGTGTCATGCAAGAAGGAAAAAAGCCTTTAAAAATACGCAAGAAAAATGCCCGAAATAGACAAAAAAATAAAAGATATTCCATTACGCTTGCTCCCGATATTCATTTAGAACTTCATCGGACATTCTGTTATTTGGTATGGGAGTTCTTATTCGGTATTTGTCTTGGAACTTATATATAACTAGATACTGTTGTCCTAAACTTCCCAAAATGGGAATTGGGAGAAAGAGTTCTTCTGCAATTTCTGTTTTCAAATTTCTATAAACCTCGGATTTTCTGTTATCTTGGAAAATAAAATGTTGCATGGAAGTATGAATAAAATATCATGGAAATCATATATACAGTATATTATACGCAGTGTAATTTTTTTAGCAGCAGTAAATTGCAGGCACGCGGTTCGTTATGAGAGACAAACTTTGATACTTGAGCCTTCCGATTTTAAGACGCGTTTGTTGAGCGAGGCGCCGTCGTCTGACTTTAAGGTGATTTTCTGACGAGTAATTATTTTTTTAATGCAATTTTACAGTCGGAAGGCATGCATCGAGTACGAGTGCGCACCAGTTTCGATTCTGAGCTGGAATTACCCAAGTTGCAGCACTGGTTTGCCGAAAATCCACATCCGAGCAAGCAGCAAATCCAGGACTATGTTCGTATCCTGAATGCGCAGGAATCGCGTCGAGGCCGGAAGCAACTGGACGTCACCAACGTCATGTACTGGTGCGTGTCTCTTTCCTGTCTTTGCTTCTTGAAAGTTGACCTGCTGGTTTCTTTTTAACCTCGGGTGTTTTCATCCCTCAAATGCTGAAAGAAACGTGCGATTTTCATGCTCATCTGTTCATTTTGCAGGTTCAAGAACGCTCGCGCAGCGCACAAGCGCGCCGAGATCCGCCACCAGCAGCTCCACCAAACTTCCCCCATGCAACACCGCTCTCTCGGTTACTCGTCGTCTTCAGAGATGTCGCTGTCGGAGCGCGGGATGAAGGAGGACGGGGAAGACGCGGAAGAGGATGACGATGATGAATTGGATTTGACAGACTTTGACGACGATGACGAAGACGATAATGAAGTGGCAACAGAGAAGTCTGATGGTAGAGCTGATGACGAGGAAACCGAGGCTCAGCAAGCAGTTTTTCCAGGTGGGCTCAAGTTCAACAAGTAGGCTACCCTGCGAGCCGTCCACGAGATATCTTTAAACAGAAAGCATCTGGTGCTCGTGTTAGTGGATCCTTAGTAAAACAAAAATGAGGCTCAATGTTTTTCAAAACGAAATTTATTTACTTGAAGTTGCTGGAAGTGACCGTTGGACGAAAGGAACGCGTGGAATGGAATTTGAGCGTCTATATACTTTTGGAGACGTGTTTTTCATGCAGTTTTTTTTTCTTGATTTGTCAGGTACTGGAGATGCGAGTCCCAGAGGTTTCCATCAGGAGTACATGCAGCGATTCGGGTTCCACCCAGCGCACCACCACCCGGCGTTCATGTCCCCTCGTATATCTGCCGCTGCGGCAGCGGCACTCATGACGAACCCCTACGTGCAACATTCCCTCGCCAACATCTCTGGCCTGGACTTGTCGTGTCGCGAGGGGTTCTCTGAAGTGTCGCAACCCGCGTCTGAAGAGCGGAAGAAGCGAAATCGAACCTTTATCGATCCGATTACGGAAGTGCCGCGATTGGAACAGTGGTTTTCTGGTAACTCGCACCCGCCGCACTCCATGATCCTGAGGTTCACGCAGGAGCTCAATGCGATGCCATACCGGCAAAAGTTCCCGAAGTTGGAGGCGAAGAACGTGCAGTTTTGGTTCAAGAACCGAAGAGCCAAGTGTAAACGGATGAAGATGTCGTTGACGATGCCTTGAGCTTCCGGAATTTGTCAGGTGGCTTTTTTTTTTTTGGTTGCTTTTTCCCCCCTTTGACTCGCAGTTTTTTGTGGCTTGTGCAATATTGTTATAAAAAAAAGAAAAGGTTATGGATGAGGAGCAACTTATCGGCATATCAGCATTTTAACTTCTGTATTGGCAGGAACCCGATTTTTGTTGGATTGTTCTTTCCTTGATCTCTTTGCTGTTTGTATGACCCTGCATCAGCAACCGAACTGATTGGGAAACTTATATGACATGGAATTACAGTCGAGCTTGAGAAATTTCAATCGATTCCGCTTATTCTCTTCGATTGTTTCGTTTTTGCATGTTCCTCATCCTATGTCTTTCGAACGTTCGACCAACAGGTGACCCAGAGATACGTTTGAGCGGTGAGTTCGCGGATTTCTGCGCCTGAGATCTCGTTCGTCTTCGATGTGTATCTTGTGTTTCGAAGTAGTGTACAGTATTTTATCCACCACCTTTGATTCGTGTTCACCTGCTGGTTGAAACTACTGATTTATGTTGACGTCCTCTTACTGTATATACGATGGACAACAGGAATTTCATGAACCTAACCTCCGGTTCACGTCAAATTCAATAAGTTGGAATGCACCGGTGTTGTCGAAGATACTGTATTAGACAATTCTTTCTTGAGAAGCTATTTCTTCTGATGCATTTTTCGTCACACGATAAGTACAGTCGCGCGAGCGCAGACGTTCATAAATGAAACTTCGAACTCTTCCGTCGGATTTTGTGCCAGTGTGGGACAGAAAGCTGAAGATGGACGATGGATTAATTATTCCAGGCTGGAAAGAGGGATTGACACGGAAACGAGTTTTGCCGACGCTGTGCATTCAGCCGGACGTCGTCGAATCAATGGGCTTCCCGAACTTCATACCTTTCATTCACGGTGTCTTTTTTTCTTAATTGCGTGGAGTAGATCGTACTTACCCTGAAAGTCTGTCTTGTATCGACAAAGCATTCAAATAAGCTGTTTCCCAGAGCATATTACCGTTTTTGAAAACGAACAACTGCTTCGAGAAGTTCTCTACATATTCCCACCTAAAAATGAAAGTTTTGTACAAACTTTTAAGCAGGACGTATAATACAGTAGCTGAAAAAGGCTTAATCTCATATCTATGATAAGCTGACGAGATTCAAGAATGATGAAACATTTTACATAATGGTCTCGTGTTTCCTGGTGGCTTTGCTGGTGACGAGCAATAACTTTCGACTTTGTGAGTCATTGATCGAAGGCATTATTGTAGATAGTACTGTATACGTGATTCTATTTCTAAGGAAGCATAATTCTGGTTTGACCGTTTTTTAAATAAAAGATTTTCGGTCAAATTTTCTGATTTTTTCTAGCAAATTTCTATGAAATTCATGTTTCAGGAGTATGAAGGTTAAGCTCACGAAGGAAATGACATGCTGAAACTAAAAGGGAATAATTGAAGTAGCACTAGAAGTACAATATAATATGCAGCCGGTGACATTGGAAATCTGCTGTCGATTTCTGCAAATCTGAAACTTCCACTATACAGTAATACAGGGAACATTTTCAGCGGATGAGATTTATGAACACTTCTGCGGATATATGCCTGGTTGTCCACATGCCATTTGCGCCGGCGAACCAATCGGCCTCGCACATTAGCATCTTCCTATGTAGTGGCTTTTTCGCTTTCTTGCATGGAATGGATGGTTATCTGATGGAATTGGTGTAGGAAATGATTGATTGATCGCGAAATACTTGTCACCAAGTCGGATCAGCGTAGATACCACCGCGGCGGAAAGTTGGGAGAAGAGTTCATACAATGAATAGATCACGTAAACGTCAGGATCAAATGCATTCTGATTTCGAATCGACGGTGACGTGCGGAGTACCGGTTCGATGGTGTTAAATAGCAGCCGAAAAGCCGACCGGTCTAGAGGGCGCTGGCGCAGCTATTTATGTCCTATCTTACTGAATCCAGTCGAATTGATATGTTATTACAGAATGAATAAAATTTATGCATGCCTTTTCACGCCTAAATCCATTACATCGGGAAATCATACTTATCATAGCATCCATGTACAATTCTATCAGTCCACACTTTCTGATCGTTCACTTAACCCAAACGATTTGATGTCGCGGTGGGTAACGATCGTGGAAGAGAAGCAAATGCCGAATGCCATTCGCCGCAGATGGAGGGGAAGTGATCCGTGAATGTGAAAAGGTGGTGGGAGATATTTGTATCATGATGGTTATCTTCTGACAAGATGTAAGCCCATTGCAGGATTTTAATGAATTTAATCAATGCTGAATTCTGTACTTTGAGGGCCATCGGATCGTGCTGTCCGCGAATTCTTTGCTGATCACCGGAATATGTGCTCTTATTTTGCCGGTTCATTCACAGAGTTGTGCGTTCTGCGCTGCTTTTGTTCCGAGGATGGGTGATAGTGATGAAGAATACGGAGACTCTCGTCGCCGTGAAAAGTTTCGTCGCGAGAGGAGTGATTACGTTTCAGATGCACCCGCAGTCCGTGTTACCCGGCCACCCCGCCGTGAGGACTGGCCCGAAAGGTGAGCCGTTATTATGGTGAACATCTTTGTGGAGAGAGTTGATGAATTGTATAAGCAGAGATTGGAATCGTGGGGGACCGGGACCACGACGTGATTATCGAGATTATCCCCCGCGGAATATGGATCGTCCGCGAGGTTATTCGCCGGGTCGTGCATTAGATGGGCCTCCTGGATCACCTCCGCCACCTGCCAAGCGTCCGCGAAGTGACTGGTAACTTGTGCCATGCTGTGCATGTTCAGACTGAATTTCAACACCAATATTTTCCAGGCCTGACCGTGGTTTCGGAGGATTCGATCCTGGTTTTCCAGGTTACGGTGGGCACGGCGGTTATACCGGAATTGGAGGAGAACCCGGAGGGTTTGGTGGCCCTCATTTCCCTCCATACGGCGGGTAAGACTTATTTTTCCGGGTCCTAACGTGGTTTCGCTTTTTCTGGCAACGTGTGAATATGGCGCACTGGCTTATCGCAACGGGTGTGTGTTCTTGGTTGTCCTTTAGCGACCCCGCGTTTCCTCCACGACGACGTGAACCTTCACCACGACGAGATTGGTGGGTGTGCTTCGTTTTCTTATTATGCGGGCGTGTTTCTTGGCTCACTTTGATATGCGAATTCATCACTGTTTCATAATGTAATTCTTGATTGAATGAATATATGAATATATCTTACGTCGACTCATTCAAATAACCAACGTATTCGTATAAAGAAAACATGGTGAAGGTTTTTGCACACGATCTTATGCTGCGGTTATGTGGTGCTTAATATTCAATTAGTATTTGCAATTAGAAAATATTTTTTCGTTCCGCTTGACGGAGTGTTGCAGTGTATTTGTGATCAAGACTGTTATTCGCTTAATTTTTGCTTGCGGTTTGGTGAGACTACTTGCAAGTGTGTCAAAGATTCTCTTCGACATTCTGTTTCCATATACCTGTAGTATGATTTTTGTCGTGCAGGAGTCATCCACCTCTTCCTGCTCTTCCACCATCTGCCATCTCCATCATTCCTCCAATGGAAGTTGATTATCCTACCCAAAGCGCCATGATGTCTTTCAAGGTGAGATTGATCGTTTTAGTATTATTTCAGAACCATAATAAAGCGTTGTTTTTTTTTTCTTCAAATCTGATCGGTTTTTGTGATCGGAATCGTGGAGTGTCCATCAATCTGGATGCGTTAGGGGATTTTTCTAGATCATATTTCTTGCTTTGTTATCAATGTGACGATTTTTACTTGTGCCTCGCGGAACGAACCGAATAAAACTAGTGAACTGCATAACGCTGTGAAAGAATAATTTTTTCTTCGAATTTTGATAATGGAAATCTTCATTACGTGAATCTGGCTAGATTTTTGAGGATCGAGAATCCCAATTTCTGGATATTCCTTGTAACATAATTTTCTTTCATATGATAGCTTATCTTCCGTAATTTTCTGAGGAGTGGTACAAGTTAATTGCATTTTACAGGCGTTTCTGGCGACTCAAAGCGATGATATTTCGGATGACGACGCTATCAAGAAATACAATGACTATAAACTGGAATTCCGTCGTCAACAAATCAACGACTTCTTCTTGGCACACATGGAGGAAGAATGGTGCGTGTTACGCTTTGCATTGTCGTGAAAACGCATTTTTCCGAACGACAGGCCTTCGAACGAGTGTCTTGTCGCACAGGAATACCTATCTCGCGCGGTTCATTCTGAGTCAGTGATGAGCTAGGGCTTCATTGAGTTTTTGGCGAATGTATTTGAGTTTGTGATTGGGGCACATGAGGGAAAAAGTTATCTTGAGTCAGTGTTTTATGTGGGCCGTCATGGCTGCCAGGATTGAGGTGAGATTACTGCGAAGGATTTTCTATTCCCTTTGTACTTGAACTCATTTCCGTTTGATCAACGCCCGAGGTTGTTCGCTCTTGGCGGTTCCTCGCGTTGTTTGCTCTGCTAACAATTTCATTTTATTTTCTCCGTCGAACCAAGGTTCAAGATGAAGTATCATCCGGTGGACAGCGTGAAAAGGAAGGAAGAACAATCCACTGCACTCAAGGTTATTTTTCGAAATTATTACTGCATTGCTAGTCTGATTGAGGGGCCACACCCGCTTCAGGCAACGGCGACATCTAGGAGAGAAAGATTTTCTATTTGCCCTACGCTGACGTCATACAGTGAAACCACGTTAACTCGAACTTTTCCTAGTCGAATTATCTCCCTGTGTCAAACTTTTTTCGAACGGCTCTCTGAATTCCCGTAATAGCATTGCATTAGAAACCCCCCTGACTCGAGAGCTTTCTTCCCCTAACCTCCAAAAGTCGAATTTTTTGAGGACAAGCCCTTACCTCCAGTTGATTTGACAGGATGCTGAACCAAGTTCAGCATCCTGTCAACTCATACAAGAAGCAATTTAAGGCCTAGAAGGTCACAATTTACAATTTTCTGTTACTTTTCTTACTTTCCTCCAACCCAAGTACAGTGGCCCCCCGCCTAACAGACCTCCCGTGTAAGGGATTTTTGCCAAACAGACCAGCTCTGCAAGCAGTTTTTCCTCCTGCCCAACAGACAAAATCTGCCAAACAGACTTCTTTTGGTTTAAAATTAGTGTTGAAAATTGAAATTTTTAATTTTTATGTAATTGAATTTGTGTAAAGGACTTTTCATCTAACAGACTCATCCCTTGCACGAATCAAGTTTGTTAGACAGGGGTTGACTGTACTTGTTTCCCCAACTTGAATTTCTTGCTGTTCCCGAAGTTTGATCGAATCTAATAAGGAAAATAAACTTGAAGTACTTTTATGGCAATAATAGCTTTTTTATCCTCTCGTAGATGTCGCCGACGTATGGCTCTGATGTTAATTTCGTTTGACTTACTTCGTCTTGATTATTCAGCACCGCTTGGAGGTTTTCAAAGATTTGTACTATCGGAAGTTCATGACGAACTTAACAGTTGATGCAGATATGGCTGAGGGCCTGGTGAGGCTTTTGGATACAGTCGTTATTAAACTTGAAGGAGGTACGGATCACGATTTGAAAGTTCTTGACCAAGGGCCTCCTCCGGACACGATGGTTGGACCGTGAGTAAAGTGGATTTTGAAACCTACAATTTCACGCGAAATTTGCAGTGTTCCTTTTTGATTTTGCAGGAACAAGCGAGAGGGACAAACAGAAGAGGTGAATCGTAGTTCCTACTGTATCGTTCTTACTTCCAATCGGAGTACAGTATTTCAATTGGAGCTATTCAACATTTACCCATAAGGCCAGATCGTACTGTGGGATTTAATTTCCGCTAAGATGCTGCTTGGTCCTTTGAGGACTTTTCATTCTGTACTAAGTTCGTTTAATATCACATTCTTGACTCATTTAGAAGGTGCCTTAAACCACGAACTTAGTATGCAGTAGAACCTTTTTTTTTTTTTTTTTACAAAGAATCTCTCGTTATCCAAAAACCTTCTTTAAATTGAATATGTTCGAAATTGTTGATGACATCTCAAAAATATCGGAAATCATTATCCAGGATGCCTAGGTCATGTAATAAGGATTTTTAAAAGGTTATTTCAGTGCTAGAGAAAATTTGAACCCCGATTCATGCATAGCTTCTGTCATTAATGACAGTCTGGTTGTACTAAAGTCAAATTCCTGATGAAAACGAAGCATATTCGATTTTTAGGACGCGTTGAAAGCCAAGGCAAAAGCATTGCTTAGTAAAGGAGAAAGTTCTGATCCAGCCAAAAAAGATCAAGATGTCCCCAAGAAGAAACGAGCTCGAACGGATAATGAAGATGGTTCTTCCTCTTCTGGGGAAGATTCTGGCAATGAAGATGAAGAACTTGTTCCTCCTGGTGAGTTTTCACATTCTTGGTCGACGACCATAAATGTTTTTCGCGAGAAAAATGTCGCTTTACTGATATTCCCTACATTTTAAATGTTCGAAATTGTTTTTTATAGCCTAACTCGGCCTTTCTGGAATGCCCATCTGTTATCGCCTGAATTATGAACCGCAGCAAATAAACTGAATTGACAACATTTTATCGAGAGGTTCTCAATCTGAACTCCTGTGGAGTAACGAAATTAAAATACAGTACTGGTGGACTAAGTCAACAGCGAAATTCAGGAAACCCGAAAAAATGCGTCATGCTGAGAAAATCGTTGTAAATAGAAGATTATACCTGCACATCCTTTGCGGGGACTCGAGTAGTTCTGTTGGTATGATGGAAAGCTAAGAATAACGAATTTGATACTGTACCGATAAGAATAATTCACGTGCAAACGGAAAAAGACTTAAGATGTTCGCGAAACCTGCACGGTATGCACGAAACGGAAATTTATTCATTTATTCAATCAGCATGTCGTTTTCTCATCATTTGGCTTGTTCGAGAGTCTCCGTTGTAGAAATTGTTCGTCAAAATTACTTATTGAAGGGAAAAATGCTCATAAGTCCTGTCTACGGCAATCTGAACTAAACTTGTGTAAGTTTGACGAGGTGGAATCCTGACAAGTTCGAGACCTGTGTTAATTGAAAAGCAAATCGTCGAATCAAGGACTACAGGTTAAAAGAAACAAAAGCTGGGAACAGAACTCTTCGCAAAAATTAGAATACTGGCTGCAAACGAGAAGGAACCGGATTTCTGTGTGAATTTACCGACTGATGCTGAGTACACGTTGACTTTCATTCAGGCATGGAGACAAAGAAAGTGGACGAAGATGGCGAGGGGAAGGATCAGGAGGGCGAAGAGGAAGAGAAAAGCGATGACGTGGAGGAGAAGTCAATAGTTGAGCCGCCCGTGAAGAAAGAGCCCGAGTCCGAGAGTACCGAGGAGGCTAGAGCGTTGCATAAAACCGCATCCATTTTCCTGCGTTCTATTCATCCCTCTGTTACCCGGGCCGAGATTGAAAATGTGAGTTGAATTGTTACATCCGTGTCAATAAAATTTTGATGCACCGCATTTCCATTGTTGAAAAAAAAAAGGAAGTCTAGGATTCGTCTTGATTAGCTAATTTTTTAAACCTTACACCGGACTTCTCATTCCAGATAATATAATTCGATAGCTTCAGTAAACAAGTACAGTACTGTACTTGATACTGAAGTTAATATAGTACAGGTTTTATCTTAAGTATTTCTTTCAATTTTCGAGGCCATGAGTTGTGAGTCGGCAGAGGGCGAATATTTGAACTTCAAGGACAAGTGGACTGTCGCCAATATAATTCAGTGGACCAGACAAATTCGTTGTAGAAACTATCGTAAAGAAAAACCTCTATTAGATGGGAAGAGAACACAATTGGGCCAAAACAAATTCGTTTCCCAGGGAAAATCGTTCGAAAAAAATGGTTCTTAGAGAGATAGTCTACCTGTCCGATCAATTTGCTTGTTGACGCCGATAGCGCGATGAAACTGGCATCGATTAATTCGATTGAGCTCTCAATTCATCATAATGGCGATCTAAATACCGTAATCGAATCTGTGATAACCGATTGTATGCGATTTTCACGTGAAATTGCTGGTGTAAAAAATAGCGGAAGTTCAGGTACATGTTAATGTTTAAAAAAATTCAAGACCAAACTCGGAAACCTTTTTTGTGAACTTGGGTTACTTTTTTTATTACAGCGTGTACACGCGTTTGAATATGTTCCAATGATCTCATCTTGTGAACTCACGCATTTTTAGCACTTCATTTTCTCCACATGAACATCTGAATTTTTTTTTAGCGTCGTACTCATCCCGAAAAAATCAATGCTGGGGTCTTGTCGGAAGTATTTTTTATCTAATGAGTGTGGTGGCTTTTTCTCACAGCTGTGCACGAAGTACCCGGGATATTTACGTTGCGCGATTGCCGATCCGGCACCGGAACGTAGGTGGTTTCGCCGTGGTTGGGTTACTTTCGAGCGGAATACGAACGTTAAAGAAATTTGCTGGAACCTCAACAACACCAGGGTAAGTTACCTTCAAATTTCTTTCCTTCATTATGCGATTGTGAGGTTAGTTCGTTTGCTGCGCAAATTCAGGATGGACAAAATTGCTCATTTCTTTAATTATTTTTTTACGCGCGTTTTAGTCTGATGAAAACATTCGTGCACATCACGCAAAAAGTTCGAAGCGATTTTTTTTCTAAGCATACGAGAATACTTAGCGTAAAAGAATATCGTATGTTCACCCTTGGATTGATCAACTAAAGATATGAATTCAAGGCTGGCTGACCTTTTTCCTACGAATACTGTACCTCATTCATTTATTCTATATTTTTTAGTGCAGTGTTGTAGAAAATGTTAGCGAATGATGAAACATGCATTTAAGCAAGAAATTACTCTAATATACAGTATGGCAAAGAGTTTATTGCTGGAACCAGAGAACCGTTTTATTCGAAGCCGTTTTCAAGTCAATGCGATTTCATCCATTTCTTCGTGGGAATACTTGTTGCGAATGTACGGACTAGGGATCCGTGACATTTTTTGCCCCAACAGTTGAAGGACGTGGAGTTGGGAGCGATTTTGAACCGTGATCTCTCGCGACGAATAAGAACTGTTTCTGGGCTGACTTGTCATAAGTCTGTGGTTCGCAATGACATCCGCATTGCGGCCAAAGTTGTCATGGCGTTGGATGACAAGGCCGGTTTGTGGAAGGATGAGGATGAAGTTGAAGATGCTCCCAAGGTAATTTTTTATTTTTTTCAACTTCACCAATTGATGCTTCTGTCGAGATCGATCCCAGAAAATGTTATCCATTGAAAATTGAGGGAGGAGTTTCTTTTTCATTTCCAGCGAACTACAGTATATTTGAGCGTTGAATGTGAAAGACTTGCGGTGATAGCGTGCTTTTATAGAGCATTGAATTCACGGTTTTCTGGGTGTGGAGGTCCGTTAGAATGAATAATTCTGCGTACGGTTTTCTCTATTCAACGCCAGGCCTAGTTCGATCTAATTTTTAGGTAGGTGTTGCTGGAATCACAAACCGAAGCTAGACTGACCGAACCGCGTGAACGTTATTTTAAATCTCTAAAATGTATCACGTGCCAAACGAACCAGAATGACTGAACCTCGTACAACTTATCTTAACCTGAATACAATTAAATCTTAGAGAAGTCAAATCGAAAACTGTATTGAAGCAAAATGGCTGACGTCCGGAATTAAGACGAACAGCTTGTTATGCTACTCAAAAAGCTGAATCTGTGTACATCATGATCACTTCAAAAATATCTAGCTAAATTAAGTAAAATGACTTGCAATCTGCTGAAAACTGAGAATATTGACCATATGGTGTTATTTATACCAATGAGGCCCCTCGTGAATCCTTCAGCAATCGTTACCTCAGATTTTAGATTATCCGGGATCATGACGGGTTGGCTCTGATGGGTTAACTGAATAAAGTGTTATCTTTGAACAGATCATGCACCTGTTTTCTCCTTAACCTGACGAAATTATCTCAAATTATAATTTAATAAGCTTGTTTACTTTATTCCTTTCTCGGATAAATCCTATTCAAAAACCGTACATGATTTAGACATGGATTTTAAAGGTCATTTAGTTTCTCTTGAATTTATTCTCTTTCTTGGCTAAGTTAATTGATTGAAATTCTGATGTTTGTCGGTGTTTTGTTGTATGAGACGGTTGTCATTAAAACGTTGTAGTGCGGATAAAACCTTGATATTCTGGAATACAGTACTTGGAAATACTGTATTCTGCTCGACGTCTCCGATGCCGCTGATGATTCATTTCTGAAAAATCCCTACAGCAAACGTACGGAATCCAGTCGAAGAACCCGTTGATGCACAACATCACAGAATACATGATTGAAGAAGCCTCGGCGGAGGAAGATGAATTGGTGGGTGCCGGCGGCGATGTGGAGAAGAAATCCGAGGACGACGGCTGCGACTTGGAGCGAGACGAGGAGCTGATCACTGTGTTGGATCGCTTGATTCTCTACTTGAGGATCGTGCATTCCGTGGATTTCTACAACCACTCGGAATATCCGAACGAGGACGAGATGCCCAACAGGTGCGGAATCATGCACACTCGAGGCATCCCTCCGATGACCAAGGTAAATATTACGATTGAATTTTCATTTGTTTGAACGGAGTCGCATTCTTTGGCGAACGAAATTTGAATCAACGAGTTCATTCATATTTGTGTCAGTTACAGCTGTAGGAGCTTATATTGTAATTACTTTTCTGAGGTTTACGGTAGGATTAGGAGGATTAATGAACCAGTACCATAAACATTCGATTTTACGTGAATGAAAATAGTTTATTTTAATGTATCTGATTCTATGTGTACTGATGACAATGATACTATGTACAGTACTGTATACAGTATTTACATCTGTGGATTTTTCGTAATTTACTTCTGTTGGCACTTGATCGTACATGAATACTGTAGCTCTTCAGTGATTTGACCGATTTCCGCAATCGTTTTAAGCTTTTAAACCTGGAATGACGATTTTTGTGTTACAGGTATTAAAAAATCAATAAAATTGTTCTATGGATGAGATACCGGTAACTTTTTATCCATAGAACAATTTTATTATCTTTTATCAGGAAACCGTTAATTGTGCATTTGATGTGATTGTCTGAGCCGATTCCTTGTAATGAGAGTGGTGATCATTGGGAATATTCATGATGTAGTTAATTAAACCGTTTTTCTTCGAATGAATTAAATAATTTTTTGGAACGATTCAATATACCGTATCTTATTTTTAATAGATTAGAAACGACTTTGTTTGCCCTGAGGTGTTTCAATACGGAGATTCGTGTGATCTTTGTTTTTATCGCTTTGCTTTGGAAAGAAAATTCGGTTTTTGTTTGTCATGAACCAATGGTTTTCTTCTTTGCCAGCTGACGCAAAAGGAATTGACTGACTACATGAAAAATTTCGAGACGAAAATGTCGCCTTACATGGAAATTCCTGCGTTGCTTACATCTGACGAGGCCAAGAAATTCGGGCTGAAGGATGTGGATGAGTGAGTTGTTTTCATTCCTTACTCACTTCTATAAAATTGCTTCGATGAAATAATCAAGACGATATTACGAATGTCTTCTCATACAGTTAAAGTACAGTATTTATTTCGAAAGGCTACCTAATTTTCAATCTTGTAACTAACCACCTCGAATGTTTTGTTGTACAGAATCTTACAATTTTTGTGCATTTCTTCAATAAAGAAAATTATAGCCTGTAACGAAGACTTGGAATGAAAAATAAAATGGAGACAATACAATACAAATCGAGTTTATCTGCCCTCTCATATTTCTGTATATATTCCGTTAATTCGAATTGACGGTGAATAAACAGGCATTTTATTGGATGCGTAAATGATCTTGATTTAACGATTCACTTAGTTTCATGCCGCTTGCTGACGGTTTAAATTGAAGAATGGTGGTACGATCTGATTTATGGTATAACTTGAAAATATCTTACAGTTGTGAAATTTTTGGGAGGCTTTGTTGCCCTGAAACCTTGCATACACGAAGGGAAATTTGAAAATGCTGTACTAGTTCAGAAAATGTCCAGAGTATCCTCTGGAATTATTTGATCCATCAAAACTGCCGCACTTATTTTTGCGACACTTGCAAAAAGATGAAAGAAGGATTGCCCGCAGATATCCGACCCTTTTCGAAATTAATTCCTGTAATTTTTATTGGGATTCTCTCGCAGGGAAATCGAAAAATTCGTGAAGGCCAACACCCAAGAACTCGCGCAGGACAAGTGGCTGTGCCCGTTGTCAGGCAAAAAGTTCCGCGGGCCCGACTTCGTTCGCAAACACATATTCAACAAGCACGAAGACAAGATTGAAGACGTGAAGCGGGAAGTGGAGTTCTTCAACAACTACGTGCGAGACCCGCGTCGGCCCGCGTTGCCAGAACATCCCTCTGCGGGTGCTGGAGGTGGCGTCGGTGGTGGACACCTTGGCAGTGGCGCCTATGGTGGGAATGCTACCGTGGCTGCGTTGGCGTCGGCTGCTGCCAGCAGCCCCGCTGTTGCTGCTGCCATGGCTGCGGTTGTTGGTGGGCGCCATGGCGGATCTCCGGACATGATGCCGAGGTTTGTGATCTTCTGAAATTTGTAACTCAGTACCTGTCGTTCTTGCTACCTTGAATTCTATATACTGTATCTCTTTCATTCATTGAGTTTTTTTTTCGATTTTAATCTCTTTTTTTTAGAACCTGCACGCTTTTATCTGAGATTTGTTGAAATCTTGAATATATTTAATTTTTCTGAATCAAGGTGGGGTAATATTATTGCAAATGGATATTTATTATACCTTTACTGTACCTCAAAATATTCAGGTAGACTCTACAACGATTTTGCCTACATCCATTTTCGCAACTAAGGAAAAACAATTTTTTTCTCAACCCATCCAATCAGGTTTCTCTGCTACGAATGTTTTTTTCTGAATTTTGTTTTAGATTGTGTCAGTCAGTAATAAAAATCCGATTACCATGGACTGTCTTTACAGCAAAGTTTAAAACATTGGAAAAAATGTGTTGTAGACTATGTAGAGAACCGAACCCCTATCTTTTGCGTAGGATACAATGCATAAATGCGTTATTCAGAGAATTCGTTGTACAGAGTCTACTTGTTTATTTTAATGTACAGTTATTATAAGTATCAAATAATAATGCAGTATCAGTGTTTTAGAAGATTATATTGTAATTTCTACTGTTGGGAATATACCGTAATATTTATGCGCGGGATTCTGGTCAGCAGAAGAAAACAGTAGAACAAAGGTTGAAGTTGATATGTTAAATTGGATTCTTGTTATGTTCTGATGTATAATAAATATCAAATTTTAACGTATCAATGATGTAGTAAAATATTATAATTTGCTGTACTGCTGTATTTATGTAAGGGACGTTGTCGAGTAAGAATCACTAGTATTACCTGCACCACCTTTTGAAAAGCCGTATGTACAGTAATTCCGAATTTTTAACGTGGATTGTATGCGCCTCTAAAGTAGTTCCTGTGCAGTATTTTTCTAGCTTTGTGTCTATTTGTAAAATCCCGTTCTGTATTCTTGCATTGTGCAGATACGGTTTCGGAGGAAGAGACCACGGCAATGGTTACGGCGGCAGGCCCGGAAGAGATTTCAGTCCACGTGGCGGAGGCAGACGAGGAAGCGGAGGATTTCCGGGTGGAAGAGGCCGGTGAGTATCACTTCCTGTCGCATATTTGCTCAGGTGTCTGTCCTGTCGGATCCAGGTTTTCATTCCTATTGAGTCTCCGTATGATTTTGCGGAATCCTTCGTGAGTCGGTACGGTCCCCTGCGGAGTTCATTTTGAAATTTAGCTGTTCTGGTCGGATTTCATTTTTCGTGTTTATGCAACAGATTAAGTTTTCCAGGTACCAGTTAGTTTCAAGAATTTTCGAAATCTGTCCTGGGATATTTGTGGTGATTGTTCGACGGTAGATGAATATAGGATGTCAAGTTTAGCGCAGAGGATTAAATGGCAGCTTCTTCATGGATTATAAGAGTACCACTTGAAAGACCAGGCGAAGTTAACGTATCACTTGATTGGAACCAAGAATTCCTGTCCCCGAAAATGAGACATATGTGTTCTTTGAATAATGCGGTGGTACTCATTTTCAGGTACATAACGTTGATTTGGAAAATCCCTGACATCCTTCTCGCTGGTTATGCTGAAAACATGATCGTTACAACTTTTAAATGGTTCCGTCTAGAATATAACTCATTGGGAATAATGTGGTTTTTTCATCTTTGCCAAGGTTCCTCTGATAACATTTTCTGATCATAGTTTTTTGGGGTACATGCCGTGGTATGAAGAGCTGTTATGCATACTACGAGTTAATTTCCCCATTAAAATTCCATCTGGCTGTAAGGGCCTAATTGTTTGTCCTTCTTGCGAAATCTTGGCAAGAGCCGGACTGCTGAAAATCTCACTTTTCCTGCATTGAAAAAAAGTTAATTGCAAAACGTAATTGAAACAAAGCGTTTCTTGTTGCAGGGGCCGGGCCGACCCGCGTGCGATGGTCGGTTATCACGACTTGGATGCTCCGGAAGAAGTCGATATATATTAGCCCACGAATTGTACGCCTCCGAAAAAAAAAATCCATACTTCTTGCTTTGTGTTCATCCGTCTTATGAGAAAAAAAGCACTTCGATCCCCCTTGTGGAAGGCCCATGGTAAATCCCCGCTTTCTCGACTGTTTCATTTCTGCCAGTTTCGTAAAATTTGTCAAATGGGGAAAAAACGTGACTTGTTCGTCTGCTAGCCTCCTAGATTTTCCGATAGATGTAGCTTGATGTACGGTAGTTCCAATTCATGCGTACGTAAGGGAGAGAAGATTCAACCGATGCCTTTTCTTATGCCGATTAAATTCCTCAATTGGGTAATGTACTGTGTAGAAGAGTCATTTTTTGTCGGAATTCGACGCGATGCCTGGAATCTTCTAAGTTTTCACTTGCAGCTCCCCGACAGTGCTGTTTGGAACGTTGAGTAGGTGTCACCTGAATAACTGCAGTAATTTGTCCAGACAAAGCTTCAGAAGGCTGTACGTCATTTGGCAGTATTGGCAACCCTTACAATGTTTCAAATTAACTTGAAGTGATTCAGCGCCGAAGATATTTTCAGCCGGATGAAAAAGAGTAGGATTCTGACACCTATTGTAAATTAAGGGAAATCATTAAATTGCGAATGTCTGGAGTACGAAAATGAAGTACCCTTCATGTAACATGAGTTTCAGTGGAAATTTCGCAGGTTTGATTCAACTTCTTTCGATTTCTCCTTGCAGTGGTGGATTTGGTGGCGGTGGTTTTGGCGGTCGGAAGCGAACTTACCGCGATTTGGACGCTCCGGAAGAAGACACCGTGTACTAAATTCGATTACTTCATTTTTATTTTACTCTCCCGCACTCTTGTTCTATAAAATCGTTGATTTTTCGTCGATACTGTATTCCCCTATACTGTATTGTGTTATTTTTCTGTTTACTCATGTTTTTTTTTTCTGTGAAAGAGGTGTAGCAGTTTATGTGGGTTATAATGCGATTTGATCACTCAAGTGTGTGTTTTTTTCATTTTGATGCGTGAAAAAGTTGGGCGATGTTCTTGATTTTTTGGCTTACTGAAGTGTTACGTCTGCATATAGCGTTTGAAGTTGAATTTGAGAATAAGATGATCTCTCTTCACAACGATTTTCTCCCGCTTTGTTATCCGCTCAACGAATTTTTCTCTTGTCCTTGGAAATCTACCAAATCTACCATGTAACCAAATGCTACTCATCTTCATCGAAAGATTTGTTTCAAGCGCCTTTTCTTTGATCATCTGAGTGATGTTGTGAACTGTGTCCATCTAAATTGTCGTTGAAATTAACTGTGAGAAACATGTTCTTGGTAAACTTTGATATCCACGTTGTAATCGATATCTCGGTCAGCTCAGGATCATTTCAAGGAGAGTTCACCTTGTTTTGTGAATTTTGGCAGTGATTCTTGTGTTGTTCAGAACTTGAAGTGTCTGTCTTAGAATTACAATTCAAGAAAAAGGAAGTATTTTAAAGGTGTCTCGTAGCGCTAATAAATGAGAGATTAAATATGGAGCTATTTGACATGATCAAGTAATAATACTTCATGATTGTGAAGGTTCGCTGAAAGGGGAGAATGATTTGGGACACTGTATTTTCTAGTTGTTGACTGTGAAATAATTCTGGATTTGATGTTTTCAGAACTGGCTGTGATTATAAACCCCATTAAAAATCGGCGTTTATAACGACAAGACTTCCCGGCGATAATTAAAAAAAAAAGACCGAGTGACTCAGGCCAAGAAAAGCGAAAGTACCCACGAGGCAGACATAACCGAAAACAGAAACCAAAACAAGAAAGGGAAACAAAGACAGAGGAGAATTGACGATTTCCGGGGGGCGGCGGCGGAGCAGTTTTTATGCGAGTGCATGGAATGACTTCGATGGAGAACGACAGTCAGTCGACGATGAGAAGTGAGACGCAGGGCAGTGGTGGCGGCGGCGGGACGACGGCTGCTTCGGGTGTGGAGCCTGGGGACATGCCTGGCTACTTGAAGGACTTGGAGAAGGAGCTCGGTGTGCTGGAGGAGAGCGGCAATTGTCCCCTCGCTCTGGCGTATATTCGACGAGGTGCCTATGCTTTCTGTTGTTGTGCTTGAGTCTCTTACAGTGGAACCTCGTTACAACGAATCACGAATTACTTGCATTATTTCTTGCCACAAATTTGTTGTTGAACCCCTTGTCCAATAGGCACATTGGACAAATTCTTTTTATGACGAAACCTATTCCTGGTCCGAATGCCGCGACATTTTAATGTACATTGAGTAACCGCGTAAAGGAAGACTGACACTGCAAAAAATTCAAATTGCGAAAGTTCTCAGGTCGAAAATCATTATTCACACTACGAAATAATTCCACTGGACGAACTTTGTGTCATGATTAGGTTAAAAAACATTACTCACCCAAACTCCCTGAATAATCCGAAGATCGAAAGAATAAGAAAAATCTGGAATGAATTATCCAGTTGATTTACTGTAATACCTTCTCTAAATGGCAAATGAGCCAGTGTGAAGCATAATTTTATTTGTTTCGACATTTTGTCTGCAGTGCTTTTTAGAGTTAGACCACCACAGGTGGGTTAGGGTTTTTTTCTGGCGAGCAAATGCGTGTCATGCGCCTGTTCGGCTCGAAATTTTAAACTACATTTGGTAATACAGTAACTAATACTGTAATGTGTTTTAGGTCATTTTCGTTCAGTTTTCATGCTTTTGTTTTCTTCCTTTGTTCTGCAGAGATTGAGAAGGTGAACAACAAAACCCGTGATCCCCCGCCAGTTGTGGACATCACCAAAGACGTGCCGATTGCCATAAGTTGCAGGGTACCCCTTCCAGTTAAAGAGTACCCGAAGGTATGATTCCAGCACTTACTTCCTGCTTCCGTAATTGTTTTTATAGAAAAAGATCTCTCAACTCGTTGAGAGCATGCTGTTGATGTTTTTTTTCTGATGGTGTCAAATTTCGTGCGTCACTTATTTATTCATTCATGTATTTTTTCTCGTTTCATAGTTTAATTTCGTTGGAAAACTGTTGGGTCCCCGCGGGAACTCGTTGAAGCGCTTGCAGGAAAGCACTATGAGCAGGATGATGGTTTGCGGTCGGGGCTCGATGCGAGACAAGAACAAGGTTCGTTTCCGAGAATTACCATTTTTATTGTACCGAGAAGAGCCATTACTTTTGGTAAAATTGCCTTGGAAAAATCAGGAAGTTCCTTATTTGTTGGAGGAACACATTTGTTGATTAACATGTTACCGCTATGATTCCTTTATACCGAAGTTTATTCAACTGTACGAACAACGTTCTGAAAAACAATTCGCGTTTATTTCCCACTTCGAAGTCGCTGATGTTGGACTTTTGACTTTGAAAGTGAAATATTCTAGGTGACGAAGCTGATGAGTGAAACATAATCAACTTGATTCTCATATTCAGAATAAATTGAGTGCTCAAAGTGCGTCCTACGCTCTCAGCCACATTTCTTCTCAGAAATCCAGACACAGTACGTTTAATTCCCAGATTTTCGTTTTATCATCGTTGACTCATTGTATTCCAGTATACTGAATATCCAGTTTTGTTGTAACTTGATCAAAAAGCGGATTCCTTAATTTTTTTTCCTCCCTCACAGGAAGAAGAATTGCGCACGTCGAACGACCCCAAGTTTGCGCACCTGAAGGCTGACCCGTACTTGGACATTGTTGTGCGCGCGCCACCTGCCGAGGCATACGCGAGACTCGCACATGCTTTGACTGAGATCCGGCCTTATTTGACTCCTGTGAGTTCTTCGTTTTTTTTTTTTGGCATACCTGAACGTTTTTGGGCTCTTTTTCAATATTTTTAAGAAAGATATTACTAAGAAAAATCATGCTGGCAAAAGGTAGAATTTGAAGGAGAAGAGTTCCAAGAAGTTAGGTTGTGTTACGTTCTCATGTGTTTTCTTGTTGATTCTCATGTTGCCGAGTGAATCTTCTCATAGATGTGATTTCGAAATGTGCTAAATAGAAGAATGTTGGGGATTGAGTTGAAAAGTGGGATTGCTCCAAGTTGAAGCGTATTTCTCCTTTTTTTTTCTAATTGATGTAGAGCAAGAACGACGCAATTTCCATGTCGCAAATGCGGGAAATGGAGGGCCTGAACCTCGGCGGCGTGGACCGAAGCTCCAACTGGCAGATGGGTGGCTACCCGAATTCGCAGCGTGCCGGCGGGCCCATGGGCATGCGGAACGGGCCAGGATCTGGCCCATTCGGCGACGGTGGACCAAATGGACCCCCCGGACCGCCTAACTACCGATCCTCGTATCCTCCTCCCGCGGGCGGTAACTACAGTGGCCCGGGCTACGGCGCTGGGCCAGGTTATGGCGGTGGGCCAGGTGGATTCGGCGGTGGCCCGAGCGGATTTGGAGGACCCGGAGCCGGCAATGCAAATCCCGGTGGATTCGGCGGCTATGGCCCGGGTTCCAACAGCTCCGGCGGTTTCGGCGCTGGTGGTTCCGGGCGTACCGGCGGTAATCAGGGTTACTACGGTGGAGGCGGCGGCGGCGTTGGCGGACGATCGGGGCCTGCGGGTGGCGGCTGCGGCCAAGGCTACCGTTTTTTTGACAGCATGTAGGACCCGCACTTTCCTCGGTTGTAGCTTAAATTGTTCCCAAATTCCCGCCCCCAGTTCCTCCTCCTCTGTCGGGCAAACGGGTTGGTTCTCGTCCTCCCTCCTCGCACGCCTCGCTGGGGGGAGCAGACGAGGAACGATCCCCAAATTCACAAAGGAAACATGGAGAGAAAAATATTACGTCATCAATTCCCTGAAAGAAAAGAAGAAAAAAAAATGCGTCGGGTGGTTAAAAAGTTCGAAGAAATTCGCAAGTGTGAAGCTTGCTAGGTATTCGTTTTTCTGGGGATGCCTATTCACGGGTCTCTCCAGAACTATTTTTTATTGCGGAGATTGTGTCCATACGGTCCTCTTGTACTGTACTTCGAGTTTTTCTGCGTAACCAATTATTTTTCAGTTGTGTAAATACTCTGGTGTTCACTTGCGTTCAGCATTTGAGAATTGCCATCAAGTTTTGATGCAAAGCCGCCTTCTTATCAAGATTTTTGAAAAGGCCTGTACTAGAGGTTCTTACGTGACATTTCTTGAAGTTATTACAATAAGTAATGACACATTCTTGGCGAACTTCACAGTTTATGCGATTTTATTCGAACTTGAAGACAACCCTGCGTTACCCCTAGCCGTTTCATTTGTGGCGTCGTTAAAAAATGAAATCCTGAACAAAAGAGAAAAGGAAGCGATGTCGAAAAGCAAAAAAAAAATATTTATCCCCTTTATTGCTGATCTTCACTTACACTTTTTGAAAACGAAGTCAACGAAAAAAATCGTTTAGCATCTCTTGTTACAAGCTTCTACTGCTTGGAAAAGAAAATAGCGGATTTGCTCCATTGAGTCAGCTCATACTGAGAACTGGAAGAAATGTTCTAACGAATTCTCCCGGTTTTACTGAGAAGAACCTCTGTACTGTTGTTCTTCATCTTCCATATTCCTTTTTTTTTTACGATGACTACATTTTTTCCACCTTGCGACTCCCTTCGGACTGAATGTTCTCTTTCATTTTTCCCGTGAAAGGAAATTTCGCTTTCGTGTGACCTCACTCAATGGGAGCATGTTCAGGCCTTTTCTGACAGTCTTTGGGGACTTGAACTTATGCCTCGGATTGCGTCGGACAGTGCGTGGCATTAAAGAAAAAATGTGTGATTTATGCATTGTCCCCGAAGACGTGGAATGGTCCATTTTAGCCCTTTCGGGTTTAAAATCTACCTTTTCCCGTTTCGATTCAGTAGTTGTGAAAATATTGCGAAAGAGAAGAGAAAAGAAACAGAAGACGCGTCTGGTTTCAGCGGATTCCACATATTACTTTACAGGAAGAACTGATATTTTGTTCGCCTTTCGCTGTAGAATCAAGGGAGTCATTTTAAACACCTCCGTTTTGCTCTTCGAGGGAGAATCCGAGACCTTCGTTATTAATTTTTCTTTTCTAAGGAAAATGCGTGTACACTGTTCGAATATGGAATGGCAATTTTTTCTCCAAAACCGGAAGGTTTACTTGACAGTAACCTCATTTTTTTCGCTTTCTTATGCAGGTTGATCGTTAATTTATTCAGTTCTGTAAGGATTCTGGATTGTCAATTTTGACCGGAAAACAATCTTCTCCGAAGGTTCACTAAAGATCGCGAACAGTTCCTAACGAGCATCAGTGTTTTCTAGTTCTGAACTCCTCTTCAACAGAAAGAGGGTTTTAGAAGCGTTTTCTTTTTGCTTGATTGTTTATTTTTTAAAGTTCCGATTCTTACCTTCTGAAGAGCAAAACTGGGGACTTTTTGGGAATTGTATTGGACAAGGGGACAGAGAAAGAAAGACTCTTAATGGTGAGGTCACTGAGTTGAGAGGCGTGCGGAAATGGAGCCCGGAAGTTGTCCCCCGGAAACTTTTTTTTTTATTTCAGTGCGACTGGTTTTCTGTTTTTGTTTTACAGTTGTTGTCCCGTGCCGAGGCTGGTGGACGCCGCGCGACGAACGAAGGCCGCACCGAGCGGCGGAATTTCGCGCTTCTGTTCGGAACACGAGTCTGAATGTGTTTCGGATTAATTCATGCTATATATTCAGGTTAAGGTTTTCATGGGCTCGCTTGGTGAGCGCGTTTATCCCACTCGTTAATATCGTTACGTCGAAAAAAATTATACTTACGGTAATGTGCATGCGTTTTTATCGGCATCTTATTTGTGTATTTGCATAAGCCGTTTTTTGCTGGACAAGAGGAAGCCTCCTCCCCCTCCCGCTAACTGGATAACGTTCGAGAGCAAACAATGGGAGGGACACTTAACCCTGTCGAGTTTCCTGCATTATTCCGCTGGGAAAGAACGAGAGATACTGGTGTTGTGATCAGAGCGACCTCTATTTGCGCGTGCACTAAACCGTGGTGGCGTATAAGACTGAATGATACGATGTGTGCATCTTCTTCACCGCGGTCGAGTGACGCGTGTTCTGTATTTGCGCTTATCCGACATTTTGTCGCGCGCGCGCGTAGTATGAGAGATCTAACGCGCATTTGGGGGTTATTCTGATGATTGCCGGTCTCTTGGTAACAGTGACGAGATTATCTCGATTAATCCATTATAAATCGAGGATTAAAGGGGTTCGAGTTGTGGGGGAGGAGGCAGGAGAAGCGTGTCAAGGTCGAGTTTCGCCGTTCTGTTTCTCCGCCTTGGTCTCGTTTCCTCGATGAGCTCCGACGTCGGGCGGCTGGCGCGGTTGTTCTCCTCGTTCTTTTTGTTGCCACACGAAAGTTCTTGTATTTTCTCGTTGTAATGTTCGAGCTTGTTGTTTCTGCGAAAACTGGAAAAAATGGCAAAACGACTTGTTCGAAGTATGTGTCGATTTCTTTGAATTAGAATTCGCTTCAAATCGTAGTTCTGTACAGTATTTCCTCTCCTGTCGTTTAGGTGATTTGACTCTAGATTTCACTATTCGTCGATTTTTCTTGCGATGTGCCGTGCGAATTGGTGAGAATGAAATTGGAGGATCCGGATATTACAGTATTTGTCTTATCTCCCGTTCATTAACTGTACTGCAGGCACGGGAGGATCCGCACCTATTCCGAGGATTTCAGGGTTGCATGAGTACGCAATCGCTGAGCTAGGGCGGAATGTGGGCATGTTGAAATTAGAGGCATGTTCGGTAACCTGAACAGACCTATTGCTGGTATTCCCGAAATCTGGAATAGCCTTCGAGATTCCCGGCCACCAGTTGAAGTTTCATGGACTTCAGGAAGAACGAGGATACGATCTTCAGTCAGATTTCAGGTGAAAATATCTGGCCGATATAAATTTTAAATCGTCTTGAGCACTTCTGAAAGATCGTTGAACTGTACAGGAACATTGTGTTTACATGACTCAGGTTAATACGAGTGGAATTCTTTTCTGTCTGAATAATAATATATATAATACTAAATTATTGTAGCGTTTAGAAATAAAGATTATTGAACGTTTCTTATGATTAGTGAAATGCTAACAAACGAAAAGAAACTACTGTTGACTGATTTTCTAAAGGTAAAAAATTCTACACGAGAAAATGAAATCAAATGTATTCTTGGTTGATACAGGTGCCTCCGATTGACTTGCGAATTTCGTTCGGAAGACTTCGGGTGCATCAAGATGATGGGATTGGGATCTGGATCTGTTCGCGTACACTTATACCTACTGGTTCCGGATCAGGTCGATGATTTTCGGAATCACTACCGAACGAGGGTAGAAATGAAACCCTACCGCGCCGAAGGACTTCCCCAAACGAGGGTAGACAAGAAACCCTACCCCAGGGTAGACATGAAACCCTACCCCGCCGAAGGACTCCCCCAAACGAGGGTAGACATGAAACCCTACCTCCCATTCATTGGCGGTAGCATGGCGAGATACCCCTCACGATCGAACGATCGTGTCCCTCTTGCCAATGACTCTGCCCGTGAATGGGGGTTCACCCACCCAAGAAGAACCCCCCATTCATTGGCGGCAGAATGACGAGAGACCCTTCACGATCGAACGATCGTGTCCCCCTCGGCATGATGCTGTCCGTGAATGGGGGTTTTTTTTTTGGGTGGGTTGAAAAATATTGCAATTATAATCTCGCCTGTCAAAGTGTCGAAGAAGGGGAAAAAATTTACAAATTATTGAAAGGAAATGCCAACCACAAATTAGATTTCTTCTTGCTTCAAAATTATTATAATTATTATACTTCAAAACTGTTGATGTTGTTATACTATGCTGAGGCTAATAAAACGAATTCGACAATTTTTCTGGATGAATATTTTATTCATCTTCATTTATCAATCCGCAGAAAAATCCATTAATGATCTTCAGTATTGCCCTTCAATTGGGTGGATGGTGAACTCGGGATCTGGCACCAATTGCTGGGTTTTAGCCACGTCCGGCACTGCCACGTCATACCCTGGAACCTGCACACACAAAAAAAGAAAAACAGCACACATGAAGCTTTCAAATTTTTGAAAATTTTCAAGAACAGTACCTCAGAAGGATGAACTGAAGCAGATGATGCAGTGGTCTCTCGATGTTATGCTGCTGCTTCAAATTCTGTAAGAGATTCAATGGTTGTAAATAAAAATGTCATACAAAAACAATGCCACATAAACCCCATCTTCCATCATAGTCCACAATCTGGCAGCCATAAAAACAGCGTCCAACGTAGCTCGGTACCCACCCCATTGCTGAAATAAAGAAATTCGAATTTCAATTTAAGATTAACTTTACTTCATGCAAGACCAGTGTAGCTTCGCATTAAATTTGATCTATTTGTGATGTTATTGCACAACCAGCATTATACAGACAAAGGTAGATCAGCCATTCGTTGTTTTCTCGAACAATTATTCCATTGAGACAAGCTACTCATTATATCAAATTTGCAGAACAGTATTTCATTCCCAATTCATTATCTTATCTATTCATAGTCTTCAAACACGGAGAAGTTTCCTGATAAGCTTGTATAAATATGCATAAATTCTGAGCGATTAGGCAGTATGTAATTCTCTTTTCCAAAAGTATGTTCGCTAAACTTATTGCCTTCGTGCTAATTATACTTGCCGCGTTCCAGCAACATCCATGCAGCTCACAACCAGCATATGCTGGGCGCGGATTCGGCGCAACTCACGGCATGAAAAATGCGCCGCACACTGGTCACAATCACCATCGTCTTCATCAGCCCGGGGAAGCTGTCAACTTCAAGCCTGTGAAAATTACCAAAGATAAAGACTTGATTCGAGACAAAGAGTGAGTGAACTGCGTGCATGATGGACAGGACATATACCAGCTTCGGAAAAATAAGATTTAGTTACGTCATATTCCCTAAATGTAATCATTAATTGATGATGCAGTACAGTATATTGATCAATTATTAATACTTTTTTATTATATCATTCATTTTTTTGAATATGACTTGGAAGCTCAAAATTTGACATTTCGATGGTACCTCACGTCACCTGGAAACAATAATAATCTAGCCGCCTTCTGTTGTCGTTTAAACTTGGAAAATTAGTCGAGTACTGTACACTTTTCGAAAGACACAATGAGATGAGGCAGTGTAGAGAAAATTTGTGTACAGGACACACCCGCTTAGGAAAGTATGAATTCGATTAATCTAGATTCATGAATTATTTCATTATTCCATCATTTATTTATTTTTTATCAACGATGTGTCTTGAAAGTTTAAAATTTGACGTTTCAGTGATGGAACCATACCATACAGCTCGTCTGGCCGTCTTTCGTAGCCGTCTCGGAAAATTAATTCAGTATTGCAAGAATTGAATTTATGTTTAGAAGTCAAAAGATCGTTTCAGGAAAAATACGCTATCCTATACACTGTTCTGAAGAAAGGGAGAAAAAACCTCGTACCCTGTATTTGTAATCCTTTGATCAGCAAACAATACCGAATTTTGCATTTCCAAATTATCAACTCATTATTACAGTGCAGTATTTTTCTCTTCGAAATTCTTTCATTTATGGTTTCGTGCGTGTAGACTTAACTAATCAATTTAAATAAGGACTCACTCGTACCTTTCAACAGACACATTCGGGAGGAACTCGGTGAATTCATGAAAGACAAGGACGTCGCCAACATGAAACCCGAAGAACTCGAGTTTCATTACTTCAGGTAACGCTGCGCCGCGGACCTGCGAAGTTATTGATCAACAATGTTTCATCGTTTTTCATTCTACAGGCTGCACGACACGGACAACAACAATAAACTCGACGGTCTAGAACTACTAGCAGCTCTCATGCACGTACACGACGACGACGAAGAAGGAGATCACGAAGAAATTGACGAAGATGCACTTCAAGCTGAACTGAAACTTCAGCCAGGCGATAGCCCAGAAGTGAAGGCAGAGAAGCAGAGAAAGTCCGGAGATTACTACCGCAAAAAGGCTGAAGAGCGCCGCAAAAAGATAGAGACTTTCAAATTCTTCACCCGTAAGTCTCATGACGAAAATAACTACAGTATAACCAACCTGGGGTTTCAACGATGCTTCTATACGATTGCGTATATTTGCAGAGCTCATTGATGAGGCCTTGTCAGAGGATGACCACAACAACGATGGCTACTTGAATTACATGGAATTTGTTGCCGCCCGAAGAAGGGAGGACAGTGATGATGACACATTCTCTTGGTTTTGAAAAAGAGATAAATAAGAAGCGCTTTTAATTATACACAAATGCATTTATTTTCAAGTTCCAAGGCAAAGTAATTCATTCCATAATTAAAAATATCACTTGGGAAGTTGCGCAACTGTAATACAAATTTAAAGGTTTATAAAATCATTTCTTATACCTTGTCCAATTTTCAAATTAATTTAAAGAGGGGCAAACTTGAAACAGTGCTTCTGAAACGTCAAATCAAATCTTTACAGCTAGTGCACCAAAAATCTTGTGAATACAGTAAAATCTTGTCACAATAACAAAGATATATGGGAACAGAAACAACCTTTGTTGTAAAAAAAAAATTTGTTTTGGCAGAACTCATTGTGACTATTGATGGGCAGGGAGCTAAGAAACGACTTCGTTGTAAATAATATTCGTTTGTACAGAAAAAACAAAAATCACGCATACCCTGCAGACGTTCCTTGATGAACGCAATATAAACCAAACTTGGAGCACTCAACACAACAGAACTGAATAATCTGTAAGAAGAACTTTAAATGCGTATAATACATGCAACAGCTATAGAGTTTGAATTTCAATTCATCAAAAAAATAAATAAATGGGACACAGGCCAACTTTCGCTTCAAAAAATGCATTCCTTTGTCATGTTCGTGAGCACCATTACAAGTAGAATTTGCATGAGCCACAATGAAAAGGACCATGAGGCAAGCCAGTACATGGAAAATGTGGGTCCTCAAAACCAGGAGGCCAATTCGAGATTATGCCCAAGGAGACAAATAGACAATGAAAAAAAAAAACATGGTAATACACAACAGCAAACAAATAAGTCCCAATCACTAATTATCAAGTCTTGACACCTTCTTTTCTACGATGAAATTGTTATCCACGTTCTAATTAAATTAATATGATGGCTTTTTTGGATAAAATTTATATGAGTATAGATTCACTCTTTTCTAAAAGTAAAAAGATAGGGGATGTTCTGTTGAGGTCTTGAATGTGGAATTTGCTTTCATTTGTGCAATACTTCAAGATTATTACTGTAACTGTGCAACTTGATAACATCTTATTTCTGCATTATTGCTCAAGCCACAGCAATTGATGGATATTTACTTCAAATTTCTTACAGCAAGAATATATTCATAATAGCACAGCAATTTTTATTCCAAAAATGGAATTTCTTCTATCCCACCCTCCCCCTGGCATTTTCTCCTCTGACCCCGGATGAAAAAAAAACATCATCGTCTTGATCCACAAGCCTTCCATTCGTAAGCAGTGTCCGCTTCAATACTCTCATAGACCATCTTCTCAACATCCACCTCCTGCATCAACTCTTCCACCATCTGCCGGATCGGTTCCTCGGCCACACACGCAATCATGTTCCTCACAGTGCCCGAAATAATTCCTACAGCAGCTTGGAGGATGCGCTCGGCAAACGAAGCGGAAGTAGCGTCACCTAGCGGCGTGATCCGCACACGGCCAATCTCCAAGTCCACATCCTTGAGCGACATCTTCTGATCAAGGTTCAAAGGTTGCGTCACCATGATGCCGACTTTGACGTAGTCCACTTCGAACGCGATCTCTCCTTCCACGTCCCAGATACTGAGGACCCTGGCTTTGTATTTTGAGGAGCCAGTTACTTCCTCCGTGGAGATCTCCACGCGAGCTTCGATCGTGTTGTTGCGCAGACTCACAATCACGTGATCACCTCTTTGCACCTTCAAAAAAGCACAGAAGCGCCACGTACAGTACATGAATATAAAATACAGTAGCAGAAGTTCTGGAACTAATCTAAGGAAGCCCAGTATAGGGGAGATCAACAAGAACTTCTCATAGGCTACATGCACTACAGTTAAACTCATTAAAACAAATAGAATTACGAAAAAATGTTTCTGCATGACAAACTTTGCCTCAAGTTATTACAGCAGATTTCCCATAGACTCATCAAGTACAGTAAATGAGAAAACAATCTGATCATAACAAACTCCCAAATTCCAATAAAGCAAACTTTTTTGAGGAATGTTTAATATATTCTCCAGCAGATATAGAAATTTCTTAATTAAGGCAGGCACTGCCTGAAATTTCTATATGACTAACTGGTTCTTGTAGCAGATGGAAGCTGTAATCAATGACAAAAATGCTCTCAAGTGGTTCCATACATCATCCTCCCAGAATGAAGAGATTACTGTAACTGATGGAATGCATGAATTAAAGCTATTTTTTCAGGAGATAACTCAAATTTTTCTAAAAGTGAAAAAATGAGAATGCCAGAAAGCAGTATATAATTGATCATAGGATGGTACCTCTGATGTGAACATTTTTTCCTTGCCATTAATTTTGATAATCTTGTAATAAAAAAATATTCAGTAAAATAAGCAAACTTTCCCTCAAGTCCTCACAAGTTACTTAAGATAAGATTTTAATGAACTGTAATACTCAAAGAAAGCTTTAAAAAATTGTATGATGTAAAAAGAATAAGCAAGGACTTCTAAGCCTGCTATGAATAAATGCCCCACAAAAATAAAATGAAGAGCTCTTAGCTTAGGTAAGGCATTCCTTTAAAATCATATCAGGCGCTTTATCACCAGATATACAGTATATTCGTACAGTATACGATAAATGAAATTTGCTTTGATACTGTTCTGCATTTTTGGGAGTGCAGTAGGCCACGCCCAAATTTTGAGTGTGGCATCCATAAAAGAAATGGATGGGCTGCAAAATATTACTCAGGTACTATATTTTGTGGTCTGTGAAATTTATAGATACATTATAGGTACATTTTGTAATTTCTGTACAAGTGTGTACATCAGAGAACCTCTTTCTAAATGGTTTGCTGGGCATGCACTGTATATATCACAAACCTACATCTTCTCACAATTTTTCAAATTTGGAAATCCGCAAAAAACTGGTCAACTAAGAATGATCATCTTTCAAAACAGTATTTGTGAATATAATTGCCAATAAAAATTACTGTAATGGTAACAAGAACAACAACCCGAGAATGATCTTCTGCTGCAATACAACTCAAGAGCTCAATTACCATTACTGTATACAGTACAGTAATGCAATAACACATACCTTTGACAGTCCATAGATCGACATCCCGGAAGTATTCAAACTCAAGAAACTCGTCTCCACGTGCTGCTCGGGGACGTGGAAAGGATCGTACTTGTTGTCACGGGCAAAACCGCAGGCGTGAATCCTTGAGCGACATCTTCTGATCAAGGTTCAAAGGTTGCGTCACCATGATGCCGACTTTGACGTAGTCCACTTCGAACGCGATCTCTCCTTCCACGTCCCAGATACTGAGGACCCTGGCTTTGTATTTGGAGGAGCCAGTTACTTCCTCCGTGGAGATCTCCACCCGAGCTTCGATCGTGTTGTTGCGCAGACTCACAATCACGTGATCACCTCTTTGCACCTTCAAAAAAGCACAGAAGCCACGTACAGTACATGAATATAAAATACAGTAGCAGAAGTTCTGGAACTAATCTAAGGAAGCCCAGTATAGGGGAAATCAACAAGAACTTCTCATAGGCTACATGCACTACAGTTAAAACTCATTAAAACAAATAGAATTACAAAAAATGTTTCTGCATAACAAACTTTGCCTCAAGTTATTACAGCAGATTTCCCATAGACTCATCAAGTACAGTAAATGAGAAAACAATCTGATAACAAACTCGCAAATTCCAATAAAGCAAACTTTTTTGAGGAATGTTTAATAGATTCTCCAGCAGATATATAAATTTCTTAATTAAGGCAGGCACTGCCTGAATTTCTATATGACTAACTGGTTCTTGTGGCAGATGGAAGCTGTATTCAATGACAAAAATACTTTAAAGTGGTCCCATACATCATCCTCCCAGAATGAAGAGATTAGTGCAACTGATGGAATGCATGAATCGAAGCTTTTTTTCAGATCACTAAGATTTTTTAAAAATTAAAAAATCTGAGAAAGCCAGAAAGCAAGATATAATTAATTATAGGATGGTACCTCTGATGTGAAAATAGTGGCCTGTCATTAATTTTGAAAATCTTGTAAAAAAAAAAATATTCAGTAAAATAAGGAAACTTTTCCTGAATTCCTCACATGCTTGTTAAAACAAGATTTTAAATTGTAATACTGTAATACTCAAAGAAGGCTTAAAAATTGTATAATTTAAAGAGAATAAGCAAGGACTTCTAACCCTGCCATGAATAAATGCCTAACATAAATAAAATGAAGAGCATTTAGCTTAGGTAAGGCATTCCTCCAAAAACATATCAAACGCTTTATCACCAGATATACAGCAGTATAGTTGTACATCAGTAAAGTATATGATACATAAAATTTACTTTGATACTGTTCAACATTTTTTGGCAGTAGAGCAGGCCACGCCCAAATTTTTAGTGGGGCATCCATAAAAAAATGGATGGGCTGCAAAATATTACTCAGGTGATATATTTTGTTGTCTGTCAAATTTATAGATACATTATAGGTACATTTTGTAATTTCTGTATAAGTGTGTACGTCAGAGAACCTCTTTCTATATGGTTTGCTGGGCATGCACTGTATATATCACAAACCTACATCTTCTCACAATTTTTAAAATTTGGAAATCCGCCAAAAACTGGTCAACTAAGAATGATCATCTTTCAAAACAGCATTTGGGAATATAATTGCCAATAAAAATTACTGTAATGGTAACAACAACAACAACCCGAGAATGATCTTCTGCTGCAATACAACTCAAGAGCTCAATTACCATTACTGTATACAGTACTGCAATAAACGTATGGAAACTGTCAGGTATCTAGCTGTAGGGCCTTCATAAGTTTGAGTTCTTTGAGCAGAGGTGCACGACGAGCCCCTGCACCTTTCCTAGCATGAACAACAGTGCCCGTTTTGGCGTCCGCACTTGCATGGCCACGTCAATCGGTTTGATGGAATGCGAAAACTGGAACGGGATCTTCTTCAGGGCCGCATTCAAGTCCTTGACGACCAATTCTTCGACTTGACTCAAGATCCCGGGTTTGATGGAATTGAAGACAGAGGGTCCGATTTGCGACATGATCCCGCGAAGCACCTTCGTCATCAGGCCGAGGTTCTCAAAGTTCACCAGAATCTTGCGGAAGGACATGTCAAGCTCGAGTTTTTCCGCCTGAAATGAAACAAAAGGAACAGTTCATCATCATCATCATCATCCATGAAACATAAACAATATCAAAAGGAACTCGCTGTACTTTCAGAAAACTTTTAATAATAATAAATGCACTGCATGCACACTAAGTCAGCATCACAAGGCATCTAAGTACAGTTTAGCTGAACACCCTTGAAATTTAGCTGAACACCCTTGATAACTTTTCTGGTATTGGCAGAATTATTGAGGGGCTGAAGGGATTTGTAGTGATGGAGAGTAATATCATCAGAATTGAGCTTATTATGAACCACCAGAATGCATGCAATAAGAAAATCATCAAACAGTTGCAAAAGGTGACTTGAAAACTATGAAAACATCACCATAACATTAAAAAAAATATTGGATGATGAGAGTTTGTTTTAGCAAGTGCAGTTTTCCATTCAATCCCCATCAATAACAGAACTATTTAAATAGCTTATTTTTTAATTTTCCTTTCAAATTACAGAAAGACAAGTACAGCATAGAGTTTATTTCACATGCCATCACACAGGATGACAGGAATCATCCCTGTTTTCAGGAAAGCTCCAACTTCAATCATAAAATTTCAAATAAGGGGAAGTGTCATTCAAGTAAAGACAAATTTTCAAGACTAAATATTGAGGAATAGAATGTAAAAAATTATCCTGACCTTTTACATAAGCATGGGCATGTGATTCCTATCAATGGAAACCCATGAAAATGCCAACATTTCTTTTATATGGGCTAATTACTTTTTTTTCTAGGACAAGGGATTTTTGTGCCACTAAAGTGGGCCTTATTTTAACAAGACAATTGCAGGAGATTTGTGGCACTAATAAATTGTGGCTTGACTGTAAGTTCAAAATTCAAAAAGCCAATATAGCAGTCATGGGCTTATTTGATGTTTGAAAGTTTCTGGAAACCTCTCTGGCATTGAGAAAAAAAAATTACAGCACTGTTAATGGAATGGAGGAAACAAACTATCTCACCTCAAGATGCCGAGCCTCTCTTGGTGTGTGGAGTACAGTTTTACCTTCCGCAAAAACATCCTTGAGAATAACTGAGAACGGACCTTTGGACTTACTGAACAAAGTCAGGAGCTCATAGTGACCAGTCATTTCAACCTCGGGAACATTGATTCCCAAGGAAATCTATACGAAAAATTCACGTTCAGTATCAACGATACCGTAAAGCCGCATGTTGACAAGGATAAATCGCAAGAAATAAATACATCCTCACTTCCATGGAGTGAAGGTCCAGTGAGACGTAGTCAATCTTGAATTTGGACAAGTTATGAACCACGGCGTCCTTGAACTTAATCCTCACAATGCCAAACTTGTCCTGGAAGTCTTTGATGCTCATGGGATCCGGAACCGGAATCCCGGGGATACCGACGGGATCAGCTTGCTTGAAGTGCTCGAGAATCTCTTGCACTTCTTGTCGCCTGGATTTCGCATCTATTCACACGTACAATACACTATCATGAATCACATACCGCACAAACACAAATTGAAAAAACAAACAACCTTGTCCTCCACAAGAAGAAAACACCAAGCTGAGGAACAACAGTCGAATCGCGATCCTGATGGTCATTCTGAGAAACCTGCCTACTGGTATATAGAGGAGATTCTCGATAACGAAGCGACGTTCACTGAGTAACGAACGTTATTCTCACTCTTCCAAACGGCACATGTTGCAGCATAAACACAGCTCAGCCTCGTTCACAGGAATGTGAAATTCGACACTTGGCCCATCAGCATGTCTTCTGGGTAATGTCAGCCATGTTCACTGGGTGACAATGAGCTGCGTGTGCAGCCCAGCCCGCTTCGTATATAACACTGACGTCAACAGTAAATCGCCCTCCGGCCGCGAAAACGCCAAGTTCTTCAGAACGCTTCAAACCCACTTCTATATAGCCTCGAAGAATAATAAGTCAAGTTTCTGAAGTTCTAACCGAAGGGGTCACGAATTTCGCGGCACATTACTTCCAACACCATCCCATGAACTTCAAAAAAGCGCAGATCCTATGTTTCCTTCAAAGCGAACAGGTGTCGCTGCGAGTCACTTTCCAATGTTCTCGCAGTGCGCGTAGTATTTTCGAAACGCGAATAAACTCGGGTTCTTACAAAATTTAAATACAGATGTCGTACGACGATTGGCGTAAAAAAGGCCAGTCTTCGACGGTCGACGACCTTGCCGAGCCTCCCCCGCTCTGTGGCTATGACCGCGCGTGACAATGGCGGTTGTGAAATCGCCACCATCCTTTGCCAAACGACAAGCCGCGCAAGGCGTTCATAAATCCGATGCTCGGAGAGGCCCGCCTGAGCGTTCGCGGTGAAAGCTACGCACGACCGGCAAACGCGGGGAAGCCAACCCCGCCCCCTCCCTAGCGGCCGGCGCGCGGCGAATCTACGCTAAGGACTCATAAAATTGAGCGGCAGGAAAACGTTCGTCGGTGGTGTAGCAAGGCATTTAGTTCTTCGGGCAGAGTCACTAGCATTACACAACTTCGGTTCATTCCGACCATTGACCTGGGCGAATTTAAAGAAAATTATCCCAACATGCTTCACGGAAGACAATTTAGATAGCATGTCCAAATTAAATTACTGTAGTTATGAAGGCTAATTCACAGGAGCAAGTTTGTTGGAGAAGCATTTCAACTGAATGATGGTCACAGCAATACAAAACTAATGCCTATAATGGCTTCTTTTGCAAGGAATATTAATCCCATCGCAGCTTACGATTTCAAGTTGTCAGAAATATGCGATTATAAGGAGTAAAATAACCTCTGAGAATCAGAAAGAATTTTCCAAAGTACTGTATACTTCTAAGAAGAAAAAACCGTTGGACATAGAACAGACAATGCAGCAATCCTGAAGATGAGGTACCACGTGTGCATTCATACTTACTGCTGTAATCTCCTACAAATAGTATAAAACCTATTTTAGTCGCAATAAGACATCTGCAAATGTAATACAGTAGTTTGAAATATCTGTTAGGCCCAATCAATCAATTATCAATCAAAGTTATTCAATAATGATTCACGGGTACCAAAAGTCAAATAAGAACCGTATTCGAAAAATGCAAATGTGCCAGGAAAATAAACGGGTGGATCACCCTGTCTGGCTTCAACAATTGAGACGTCACTGCCAGGAATAAACCTATAGACCTCCTACACTCACGGCCCCCGTCAACTCTCGTGCACCCGCCAGAACGTTTTATGAACGCGGTCCTCTAAGCGCGGTTGAAGACGGCAGATCGACGGTTCCTGCCGCGGTTGGATGGATGGACGGACGGGACAAGCTAGTACGATCCCGAAAGGGGGAGTACTCAAGATTGACAACAACCATCTCCCCCGAAACACACCTGTCTGAGCGCAATAAGGACCGAACGCGGAGTTGAACAAGCTTCCCGCGCGCCAACACGGACACACGCATGGCTGACAACTACTACGAGGGATCCGAGAGGCTAACTTCACATTTCCGACTCATTTCGGTATTGTACTACTGTGTAGTCAAGGTACAGTATTAAGCCAAGGTTTTTTTTTTTAAACGTTGATGCATTCGCCGGGCGGTGCATGAGACTATGAAAAAACATAACAGATATCAAGCATCCTGACCTAAAAGATACCCTACCCATAAAATATTAAATTTGGAGATTTCCAGTTATAGGTAACAACACGAATTCAATACTGTACTGTATTGTGTAGCATAAATAACTATTACTATTAAGAGATTACTATTAAGAGATTTGCAGTGAAATACACTCGCTGCTTAGACATGTGCTGTTTTGAGGCAAAGTACGATATAATGCCAGCGGAACCCGTTAAAACAAGTGGCAAAAATATTTACACACGCGTAAAAGGGAAAACGAGCAACGCGAAGTCACTCACTCAAGCCGCCCTGGTAGGAGGGCAAAGCGAGAGGCGAGGGGGGGGGAGGGAAAGGGCGTTCGCGGGAGAGGCGAACGTCCAGATGCAGGCAGAGAAGGAGCGTTTTTATGAACGCGGGCCTCGTTTCCCGCGCTTAGCGCCGGACCTTGATCGTCTCGTCCCTCCGCTGCGCGGGTATTCACCGGATGTACCTTCCCGCCAGCGTCGCTCCTCCCTGAACGGGGGTGGCGACTGACTCACCCGCAGACCCCGCGCGCGCGGTCCCAAGCAAAAACTACTCCCGTGCCGGCCCGCCGGTGGGGAAGCGTCCGGCTCCCCGCCCGCGCGCGCGATGCTTTATGAACGTCGTCCTCGCATCTCCGCCAGACGGGCGAATCATTACGCGCGAACAAAAGACGGTCCCAGCGGGGCGTCAAATAAAACTCCTCACTCACTTGTATACAACCCCTCCTCCCGTTCTGTTCACCGTTTTCAACCGTCATCGCTACGTCACCGTGATTGACGCTGGGGACGATGATGATGACTATCAGGATGAAGAGGTTCGCAAGAAAGGAAGACAGAGAGCGTTGCTCGTACGTTTCAAACAAAGAGAAGCTCCTCTACGACCAGACACACGGCAACGGTACATTCGATGGATGATCCCTCGTCGCCATGAAATAGTACTACAACAGCTGACTATTTTTCACTGGACCATCTATCTCCCGAAGTTCCATTTCATCCTGGCATCAAATTTACAAAAACAATCAATATTACAATTGATTCACAAGAATATAATTCTCAATCATTGTAACTGCACACCTCTTCTTGTGCAATGCAAAATGATTCAGAAATCTGGGTTATGATCTAAAGTACAAACTCACTGAAATGCAACCATGCATACTCCCATGTTCTTTGAACAAGCACTCGAATTGAGAGAGGGAGCTGCTTCTCCGACATTACATTATACCACCACAATGTGGTTCACACACCTGCGATTACACCTATGAAATACTTAGTTTCATCCACAGTCCAGTCAATTCTCACGCTTAAAAAAAAGAAATCGAGGACATGATTGTGTCTGGAAAAGATTTCAACACGGATCAGGTTTTTCAAACATTGCCAAAAATAATTTTCAACGCGACTCCGTGCGGGCGAGCAGCTGCCCAAAGAATGAAGCATCACTTTCCGCGCGCTCGCCGGCACGGAATCGCCGCTGAGCACGGCGAACGTCAACACCGCTCTCAGCAACGCCGGCTTTATGAACGTTGTGCCCGCAACAACGCGCTGTGCGCAGAATTCCGCTCTACCGTAGTCAACGGATTGTTGCAGTACTACCAACAAAGGTACTTCTCGAAACAACGCCTTCCCGGCCACCCTCTCCACCCACCGAAACTTGGAAAAGAAAGAGAGGTGTGGCCAAAAATAAAGTGGCTTGGAGTTGAGGAGATAGAGAGAGAAACGTGAACGAAGGATACCGGGGCCTCTGCGGAGTCGCCCCCTATGTATGAAAATCCATCTTCCTACGGAACTGACTAACCAACGCGGAGTTGAGTTGGGGCAATGGAGATATCTTCCTGTGCTCCTTTCGTGTTCACGAAAACGGGAAACGCCCCCATGGGAAACGCATCAGCGGCTCATTTACTGCATTGTATCGCCCGGCTTATCACGAGAAAATCGTCCACAAAATTAAAACTTGACAATCCTCAAATTGTGAATATTCATGATCACTTCTCGGATAATCTTTCTCATCCGCATCTCAGACCAACAGATCGTAATTTTTATTTTCAGTACTACGCGTCTGATTTTCATCGAAACACACTAGAAACTGTACCAATATACGGTATGTAATGTACTGTACAGTACTGCACTGCATAGCCAATACATGCTACGTGTTGCGGCCGATAGATGGCGCCATGTTCCACACAGTACAAAAACCAACTTCCCCTGGTTTTCTGATACAAAACTAGTCCCAGACCAGTGCAACCTTTTTGCCCAGCCAGTCACGAAGGACACCATTTTTTTGAAAATTTTCTCAGGAAGAATTAAAAAGGAGGAAAACCTCAAGGAAATCGGATTTTTTTTCCAGGTGCATCTAATTCAGTCGGGGCATATCCAGTCCAGGATAAAAACTTCCAAGAATTACAAATCACTAGGCAAAACATTCCATCAAATACCCTGCAAGGAGCATCCTACTGTCATTCTGTAAGTTACAATACTATCAAAAAGTGCAGGCATGAGTCACAAGGACGCAGGCAAGAACTTCTCATGGTTAAGAGAGGTTGAGATACAGAATGATTCAATAATTCTCTGCCCTACAGTTGCTATCAAATTAAATTTTTAACTTGTCTGGCACTTGGTCCTTAGAACCAAGTTTTTGTCGATTCCCCACGCGGTAAAAATAAAAATCATGAGATGGGTTACAATTGACCATGAACTGCCAAATACAACATCATGAAATCTAATAAAAGCAGCTTGCCCACCTTCTTAGAAAAAGTTATCTTACTTCTGAGCAAGAAAAACATTTAGAATTGCCAGTTAATTCAACAAATTTTCAAGTATGTTCAACGCTTCGCCAGAATCTCTAACGACTCACAGCTTCAGAAGTCCAAAAAGTGTGTGAAATAATGCAAACCTAAGAAACTTGAAAAGCAATAATGAAGTGAAGTACTGTACATCAATTGAAAAAAATTCTAAAAAAAAATTTAGTAGATTAAAAAATTAATCTAAAAAACTTAGTTGGGAAGTGAGCGAAATTTGAGTTGCAAAATTTGATCCGGACAAACAGACAAGAAAGCGAGTTAATAAAAATGTGTTAAAGACAAGAAAGTGAGTTCATAAAAACATGGTAAAATAAGCATGAATGACTCATATTTAATCCAAAATCCACACTCAGAAGACCGAGAGGAATGGGATAAGTGGTACAGGATAAGTTTCTCCGGTAAATACTGTAATTCTCAAGCACTCACGGAAAATCACAGCTCTAACTCTTGCATCAATCAGAAAACTTCCGACAAAAAATACTTTGTTCACGACCTCGCCGCTTAACTTCTCTCTTTCTTCCACTTAAATCATGTCAAAGACTAATAAAATTCCTATCACATTAAAAGAGGGGAACAAGTCTTGATACTACGCTATAAATCACTTTCGAAAGACGATTCAATTCACCGGTAATCACTATAACCGTGAACAGGATAACTCAAATGCGAGTAATTAGCTCGACAGTGATGTCCGCCGCTTGGAACATAAGGCAACAACGGAGGCGGAGGGGGTTTCAGAAGCCCAAGCTCCAACTTCAAACGCTCGCTCTTAATCCTCAGTTCCTCAATGGCTAGGGACAAGTGAGTGTGTTCGGTGCTGCGCAGATGTCGCCGCTCAGTCAATACTCGAGAATGACCATAGGTACAGGGAAGGGAACTTGGACATACTGCAAGGCCATGTTGGTCAATTGGGATGACATCATCGGTGCATGAAGAACTGGGCGTCGTCATTTCTAGGACTCCTACCTCGGTAGGTTTGGCACAATGCATCTCCTGCAAGAGGAAGGGGGTAACTACACAGGAGAGCCAAAGAAATTCTAGACTAATTTCCCGTTTACTGCTCAATAAAATTTAACATTTCGAAGGATTAAAAAATTTGTTCTCGTCAATACATTCTATAAAACAATTTCAATGAATTTTGACCAAAACTTCAATCATGTTTCTTATGCTCTACTGTATAATCGTTTTTCCAACATCTTTCCGCATATATTCCTCTTAAATTCAAAATTTTCCATTTCGAGATGCCACTATTCATAATAATTTTACAATATCTTCTTTCACAAGAGGTATTATACAGTCATACCTTCAAGTTGGATTTATTACAGAGAGACCCATGAGAAAATTCTACTTTTTTCCTATAATTAAAAATCGGGAAGTTTTCCAGTTGGGAAAACCTGCCTTTCTGATGGGTTAAAATAAAATATTCACAGGGAACTAAAATCAATAACGCCCTAAAATGCTTTACAAATTGACAGGTATTTCAACTGGAAGCTTGAAGGATACACTTGCCTATTAATGACGTCACTCGCCATCATTTCTTGTGAAGCATAAGGTTATACAGTATTCTCATCGTTTTTCTATTTTCAGAGTTCCCGGAATAATAACCCAGAACGATGAGGCATCCAGAAATAAAATGAGGTTCTAACTAAAGAGGTCTTAAGGGGATTCAGAAAAAAAAACGACGAACAGTTTTTGACTCGATGTTCAAATTCGCAATAAGGACTAAAACATTCATAATTGACAATATCAACACCTATCTGAGTTCTCTCGACACCAGCCTAACTTGATGAAAGTAAGAAGAGCAGGGATTTAGGAAAATGAGTATAGAAGACTCACGATGGGTTCATCCTCTTCTCCAGCGATCCACCCCCCAACATCAGCACCCACACATTCCTCATCCCCCGAATACACTTGAATGATGTCCTCGTCGTCATCATCATCATCATCTTCCCTGCCGGGCATCAAATCGTCTTCCTCCACGACTCCCACAGCGTTGGCAATCGCCAGTCGAATCAACACACGTTCTCGAGTCGCCGGCATCAGATCACTGCACTTCACATTATTCTCCAAACACGCGGGACACGTTTGATTCTCCACCAAGGCCGGTCTGACGCAATCGTCACAAAACAACACCCTACAACACTTGATCCGCACTGCATCTTTGCAGAAGTCCGTACACGCGATACACCGCAATTCCTGAGGAAATCATTCACCACTGTATAAATACTGGCGCGAGATATCACACCTCGCTTGCGATTTCAATGTCAATTCTATACGTCAACAAAAACAACTTTTGTTGACAGTTTGAACCCTATGAGTATGCAACGAATGCCCCGCGCCGAAAACACTTCCCATATTGTCTCCTTCACGAACTTCGGGGCGCAGTACAGTATTGTAGTTGATTTATTGGTTCGTCAATGAGGCGACATCTATCGAACGTAACACTGAAAAGGCGAGTCTACGGATACATCTACACGACGTCATAAACATAATTAAAAGCTATGTACACCGCATGAAAGAAAAGTACCTTGTGTTTGTCAGGTTTCAGAGCCCTGGCCGTCGGCGGAAGAAAAGGCAAGGGCTCCTGCTTTTTGGTATTGTAGGCATCGTCCACTATTCTAGGCACAGCCAGAAGTCCTCCGGGAATGATCAAAGCCCCGGGTGTGGAAGGATTCGAAACAGGTTTCATGAAACTCGTCGGGATACCAGTCGCGAACCTTCGAGACGAATTCACAGGACAGTCATTGATCCAATGCCCGGAATCGCCGCATCGATTGCACACGTAATCCAGGGGAACCGGTCCCGTTGGCTTCATCCCACGGAATTTCTTGTAACTATAGGAAGACAGGAATAACTCACTTCTCAGTGAACATGTAAGGGGTTGATCAAAACGTTTTACTCTGCAAGAGAAAATACACACAAAATTCACGAAACAGGATTCCCATCGGTGGAGCAGAGCTCGAAATTTCTTCGAACTAGAAAATGGCAGGAGTTCATAAGCAAAATTAACTACCGAAAGAAAAGCATACAAATTGTACCTCAAACAAGTTTTCGCCGAACAGGCTCCATAGACTTTGCAGTACAGTACTGTAAAGCGAATCTTTCGCATGACGGACTATCATTACAAATGGCAGTGACATCTATATCCACAATCGGACATTGGTTTGGTGTGAAGCAGATGACGCAGTAACTTGAAACTGCCTGCTCAAAATGCAACTAATCGAAGACAGCGTTGGGAGGAAAAACAATTGAAAACGACTCGTAATGGCAGATCAGTTCGAAGTGAAAACACTCAAAAACGCAATCAAAAATCTCAACATTAAACTAACTCAGCGCTAACACTTTCAAACGCTTTCAAACTTATTGACTGTCAAACGCTAACAGATTTCATGCGCCGGGAAATATCGGAAGTATGCAATACGCAGGAAGCTTCGGGCAGTCAGTCTTGGAAAATTATTGTAATAGTATAATATATATTGAATATTTCTGCATTGTAATTAAGCTGAGATGCATTTACAGCAAGACCAGGAGCTAGTATGAAAAATCAATACTGCGCTGAGATATCGTGGAGGTACGCTGCAAATACAGTATCTGGGTTTCGAAGTTCATTCAGAAATTATCGTTCACAGCATTTCGAGGTCGAGAGAATAATAAGAGCAAAAATACATCATATTTAAAATACTGTAATAATAATGTAACTCTTAATGCGCAAGATAATTTCAAGGCACTATTACTTGGGTCTTCAATTATTCGCATTAAATATTTCAAATTCCGAACAATGTCTCCTGCATCCACTCACGCCCTCGTCCAAGTTAGTGTGAAACACTAAAAATGACAGATTCACTTCCTCCGAAATTACAACATGCCAGACGCATTGGAAAGGAGCAGCACATGATGACACTGCGTGGGGGGTCGGGTAGGTTACCACATTTCACCACTCGAAGCATGAAGCGAATTCACGCAGACCTCAAACTCACTTCTTGGGATTATACAACACGGAGGACTCATTCATCGCTTCTTTGATCCTCTCTTCCTCACTTTCCGCAAACAATGCCTTTGGGAACATGTGTCCACCTTCGTCCAATCCGTCCGGGTTCTCGTCATTATTCGCAAATCCTCTCTTCAACCGACGGGATGATTCACTCTGGTTCGGATGACACTTCTCAACCTTGAGCCCCGTAGGAACACGTTGCACGATCACACTGCGATTCCGTTGCAACTCCGTGTCATCATCATCAAATGGATCCATAGTGTCGGCATCTAGTAAACGTAGCTCACAATTCACGCCCAGGTTCAAGCGTTTCGATCGCGCAATGCACTCCTTCGCGGTGCGTACTTTAATGCAGGGCTCGTTCAGGATTAACATATCGGTTTCGTAACAAGATCGGAATCTGTAATAGATCGCCATGGGAAAGCAGTCACAATTCGCGCGGAGTAATCAATACGACGGGCAATCATGTTCTTCGAACACACCATCACTCTTTTTACTTTCTTCAAAACCTTCAAAATTCCCGATACAGACTTCACAGAAAGCCGATGCACACGTACTCACTCAGCGATGACGTCCATCACCCACCGCCCATGCGGCGAGATTAAAAATACTGTACGCCGTTAGGAGATGTGACAAATTCTGAAATCATCATTCATGAAATGCTGGATGTTCTCCTCGGGAAGTCAGGAACGAATCCCTTTCCATGAGTTCATTCTGAGAATCAATTCCACACCTCAAGCCTTGGGATAAAAACACGCATGACACATCTTTGCTACAGTTTAACAAACATTTTTGTATACTTGCTTGATCCTAACAGCAAAGTAATCTGGAGACCACAAAAAGCCATGGCAACAGGTAAAATCTCATACAGTATATCTCAACACCAACAAAACTACTGGAACCTGGAAAGGTTTTCGTTGTGACAAAAATTGGTTGCATCATTACTAAAGATAACATTGTGGCTATTCAGATAATAATTCGTGAAATAATTTGGTGCAAAAAATGCAACCTCAGAAAGAAAATCACCAGGATATCAAATTGCAGTTTTTCGAGCTTTCAATTGAGAAAGATGCATTTTGAGAAATTCTGTATCAGGTGCGCCAGGTCCATGAGAATCAATTGCGTTCTCCATACAAAAATTTTAACTCATCAGCAGCTGGTCCAAAAATGTGCATAAAATATTTATAAGATTGCTTCTATATATACTCATTGAACCTATTTCTATCATGTCAATTCAGAGAAGGATTTGAAAGAAATTGTCATATATTGTTTCCATCCTGTTTTTGAACCTACAGTATTTCTCAAGACAATTCAGAGCATGGGATTGTAAGGAATTACTGTAAGAAAATTTACAATGATAATTGCATCATGCTAGAAGCCAAATCCTCAGCTATGCAGTAAATAAAATTCATCACAAGTTTGATTTAAAACGAATAAAAAATAAAATAAAATATAAAAATGCAATTCGTATATCAGCTTCAGAAGTGGTTAATTTAAAAATTGCTCAGCAATATGGATTTGTCCAGTCACATTCGAAAAATGCGCATCGCTCATAATCGTCTTTTTACGCCCTAAAAAAGGGGGCTTTCCTTCTTCTAGCGAAGTTACCAGCCGGAATGACACTACACTTGGTCCATTTATTAACAGAAAGCTTATCGCGCATTAGAATTCTGATTCATCAAATTCTTCGAGTGGAATTTCTGAATAACGGATATTTCCAGGCCAGCAGCAAGGCTCATATCATATACTTCGGCCGTTGTTCGGAAATTCTTGATTCATTTAACGGTAATTATGCAGGCACGCAATACGCGGAAACTGCGTGGGATACACCATGAACCCCCGGAAGACGATCGAATGGAAGAAACCCGCAACCCGGAATATTCGAGCCGGGCGCAACAAACTGCGCACAGTCGCACGCCTTCCGGAGAATCAACAATTCCAGGATTTATATGCTGTATTCCGCAGATTTCCACTGCACAGAGTTTCTCGGCTGCAAAATTTAATAGTCTACTACAAACAAAAAAAGACGTGAAAAATAAACAAAGCTGTCTTGGTGTGTACATAAATGTACGGTAGTACAATAAAAATGTAGGGAAGGTCGTCATGAGGAATAATTGCCAAAATACGGAGAGAAAAATGGAGCGATATGCTCTGATTTAATTCCTTTAAAAAAAAAGAAAATTGCTCAAAGCAACGAAATTATATCAGATAAAGAAAATGCTTGGCCCAATAGGGCTGAAATTTTAGCAAGTTCTAGTATAAGCTAAAATATATACAGTAATAATTCTTTGAAAAATTAAAGAAAATAAAAAATATATAATTCGCTGAGTCTTGCCTCTTCTTGTCTTTGTATATTATTGAAGTCAGAAAAATGAGAGGAAAAACTTGCCAGGATTACTTTTAAATTTCAAATTGATCAATTTAAATGTAAATTTCAACTGTGAGCTGAAACCCTGAAAAAACCAAAGGTTTTTAGAATTTATTATGGTCTTTTTTGTGAGTGGCAGGATGGGATTAATTATTTTCAAATCATGACTTTGATAAGGGAAATTATGATTCACACAAAAATAATCTTGTTAAAAAATATAAAAAACGCTCCCATCAGAAACAGATACTTTTTGCTATACTGGGAGTCATTGTATTGCTTTTCCTTATTTTTTGCATTGACAAGGTATTTATTTAGTTCTCTTCACTTAAAATAAAATCTGAAGAATCAAATATTGGAGCTTAGAAAACCCTCATTGATTATTTTTTGTCTTTTGGAATCAGGCATTCAGAAGTTGGATAACCAGAAAAAATAGCATAATAAACCTACTCCCTATAAATCAAAAGAACTCTCTAACTCGAATTTTCAGTAAATCCCATTGAAAAAAACTAACCTTCTTATTAAAAATTTTCTAACGCCATTAAACTGAAGCTAAATTTCAGAACATCTGATTCAGATCATGTCCAAGTTTTTACTTCAATGCAATACCAATGGATTTCAAGGGAATTGGCAATTTCATATACACCTATTGAACATCTCAGAAAGATGAACTCTTGTAATAATTAACCCAGAAAATCATTTTCATTGATCAACACACACAAATCAAACCAGTACCTAAATTTAAAACTCCACTAGTTTATTTTTTTTCAAAGTCACTTCAAATTCTACTTTAGAGAGGTTCAATATTTTACTTTCCTTTTGAAAATATACAGGTACCCTTTCAACAGCACAATTTTTTTAAAACCATGCTACTCAACTTCTTGAAAGAGCAGCTTATCAATTAGCAAAATAAGCATAATTCCATGTTGAAGCAAATATACGCTCAAAAAAAGAGAAAAAAACCTAAATAAACTGATGCCTGGACTGATTTCTCCAGAAAACAGAGAAAACCTTGATCCTAAGCTTGGACGCTGTCAAAAAATAAATAAAATCGCACTTTTCGCCCTTGGTGCGAAGAAAACAAGAGATGATCTCATGGTGACAATTTCTGCAGAAATTCGCAAGTGCCGCAGAAACCTCCAAGGGTATCCAGCTTTCAACATGCGAATTTCTCGGAAAAAAACCCACTTCCGTGGGGGATACTCGAATTCATGGTTATTATTATTCGAATTTTAAAATATTGCCCAGTCGAGTAGCAATTTATTTATTAACGCTTCAAGAATTTAAATTTCGAAACTTGATGAAATGTTATATGCTGTAAACTTGTTGGTGCATTGGAGAAATCAATTTAGTTCGCGTCAATTTTCGAGGGGACGGGTGGAAATTCATTAAAATTTTTAGAAGAATTAAGCGTTATAATTGGTACAATATTTTTGACACAATCAAAAACCTATTTTTGAAATTTTTGTAACACAAACACCACTAAAGGCTTTGCAACATATCATTACGTTTAAAACATTAGTACACAACAATTTTCCGTTCGTTTTCAGCGTCTATTTCATTATAATTATTATAATTTTTTAATGAAAATCTTGCCTTGATTTGATCGATTAATCGTAGGATGGTTGGGAATTTTCCGAGGGAAATGTAATAGAAAAATAACTCAATTACTGCACAGCATATAGAGTTGCTTAATATTATTTCGGCGAATAAACTTCACGAGCTTCATTTTTCTTGAAATAATGGGATGATCAATTCCACATTCAACTCAGTGAATCAAGACGGGACTCGGACAGCGGACTTTTGGAATAATGAATTTCCCATTGCGACGTAGTGCGAGGCAAACATTTCTACAAAATTGACGCATTGATTCAGTAATTTATGCAGCCTGAATATATATAGATGAGAACATCCTTGACTGGTGGAATCATGAAAATCATCAGCCAATCGTAGCTTTCTTGAATATACACATTTTTTCTTCTGGAATCAAGGGACTCGGATAAATAGACGTACAGTATTCGGACAATTATTTTTCACAATAACGCAAATGTCATCGTATGGAACTTTCCAACCTCCCCACGCCGTCGGAAATCCTAAGAATGACCATGACGGAAAATCTGATGTAGTTTGGTAAAATTCTGGAGAATTCTCCCGGGTTCCTGAGGGTTTTCGCTTTTTTCGGAGGGGGGGGGGGGCATCATGGGCACGGGACTTTCGGGAATGAAGCCCCCTGGAAAACCCGGGTTCACTCGCAGTCGTTCGCCAGCTTCAGACCGAGTTCGTTAAATTCGATATTCTCCTCTCTGATTTCCTGTCTTGGAGTCGGAGAAGTTCCATCACTGAGAAAAAAAAAAAAGTTTCTGCTAAAGTTTTAAATTTTTCGGATGCATACGCTGGTATAATAGTTGTCTGACTCGGAAATTGAGAGATTTGCGGAGAAGTCTGATCCGGAGAAATTAATTTCACGACAATTATTCTAAAGGGACCCGAGTGTGTGCTGAAGCGGAGAGTTTGTGAAACGGTTGAATAAATTTCCAAGTGAAATTCTGGGAAAGAAAAAGAAATGTAGAAAGCGTTTGAGTCGAGCATATTTGAATTAAATTGGGCTCCGCGTTGAATTCTGGAGAAAGAATGAGGAATTGAAATAAATTGAACCTATCACAGGATTTACTTTTAAAAGGCAATTTTGCAAACGCCCAGAAATGCTTGAATAAAGATTAATTCGAAAAAAGAATTGAATAGATTTCGGCGATTCGTGAGATTTTTTTTTTTTTACTAATTACGTTTTTTTCTCATGATTCTCCACAGACGAGAAGTGCAAAAGCGAAAGCGAACCGGAAAACCTGCGAATTTCATGGAACCAGTCGTACCAGAGAACCTACCAGAGATCGACGACGTACTCGAGAAGAACGCATCAGAGGAGAACGTGCCAGAGGAGGAAGTTGAGTGTGAGTACACATTATTGAATTTTTGCATACGTCGCCTAAGATCAAAGTTCTCACTATTACTCTCGTCTTCGTAATATTCAAGCACGCCTAGCGATGATAAAGTTCAAGTACATTATTTCACAAAGTTTTAATCGGTGACGTTATTAGCTGGTAATATAAAGGATTGCCTGGACCAAGTTCGGTTTACTTCAAGATTTCCGATACTTAAGTTTTGTCAGTCCTGTAGTCTTCTTGTCAATGCCGTGAACAGCGAAAATATCCTTGCCACGAAGTTGTATTCAATTTCAAGTTGAAAAATGTCAATGGGAAGAATTCGATCGTGTTTTCACATTAAATACGGTAATTTGGTTCTTCGCATTCATAATTAAACTTCTAGGATTTTCAATCCGCGGGGAATAATTCTTTCAATCGAAATTGAAGAGATTCTGGATTCAGCCGTGTAAAATACTCGAAGTGCAGTTTCACGGAAAATTTTGAAAAAATTCGGCGAAGGTTTTCTTTTAAATTTGGAAATTCTTGAAAATTCAGCGAATGGTTTTTTCCATCCTCGCGCAGTACTGTATATAATCTAATCGCAAGTCAGCGACGGTATTTTCCATCGCTGTCGAGAATTTGCCCCTATTCGGGGTACGAGCGACACCTGGTCCGGGCCTTCCGAAAAAGAAAATTAGGCATCGCGTTTAAAGACCACAGATGACCTGTACCTTATTCTCAGAGTTCTCGTAGTAAGCACAGTAATTTAAAGATATTCCGCTTATGTACCAAGGTGGTTGCAACGGCGGCAGAGGCTGTTGTGGGTGCTGCAAGTGCGAATGCGCAGGGTGCAAACCGATAGAAGGATCTTGTAACCGTCTGTATCCTTCTCATTCCACCACGCCTCGAAAATAAACGCCTGTTTGAAATTGTTCCTCTTTCCGCAGCCGATACCTGCGATCCCGAGAAGTGCAAGGATACCTGCTGCTGCAAACCGGATTCCGAGTGCAAGTGCAACAAACACCCAGTTATGTCGAAGGATCTGAAGGAAACTGCCGAGCAGAAGGTGGGCGAAGGCGAGGAGAAATCGTCGACGTTCTTCGAGCGCGCCAAGGAAACTATCAAGAAGCCATTCGAGTCCATGCGCCAGGAGGAGAAGGAAACGGTTGGACACGAACACCCCGGGGAGTCGATCAAGGAAAAACTGGACGATAATGTCAAGAAGCCCCTGGAGGGGATGACTCCTGGCGGCGAAGACAAGAGCATTATGGAAGGCATGAAAGACAAGACCGAGGAGCCCATGGAGAAGATCAAGGACACTGCCGAGAACCCACCAGTGCCGGACGAGCTGAAGAGGGTATCCGAAATGGGGGAAGAGAAGAAGGGCGAGCTGGAGAAACCCATGCAAGAAGCCTCCACCCATGCTTGAATAATACATCATACTGTATACTGTACTTGACAATCCTTTTTCAAACGAAGTGTTGTCCCAGGAGGGAAAATTCTGAAAAACCAGTTTTTTCCTGCTCTTTTATTATCTGTGTAAATGCTCTAATTTCCTCTGGGGTCTGTCTGTATAAAATGGCTCTTATTTCTTGAAGTTTTGCGTTCATTTGAATTCTTGGTTTCATTAATGAAGACCAGTCACTTCAAGACTAGGCATGTGAAAAAAAACAAGCAGTTCGAATGGGAAGAAACATGAAATTCACAGTTTCACCATTAGCTGAGCTGAAGATTCCTGTTGGCATAACAAGAAATAATAGGGGATTCAATCGCCTAGTTTCAACAACTACTCTGAGCTCATACACTGTAAATATAATGATCCTGCTTTCCTTTGTGATGGATGTATTTAACAGACGCACATAGGAAAAAATAATGATCTGATTCTCTAATTTGTTAGTTCCATGAATTCATTTTTAATGTTTGCCAGCACACAAAAACCTTCATGAAACTTCACTTATCAAACCATATTATATAGCTTCTTGAAATTCCCTTGCTCATTGAAACTTGAAATCAATTTCAGTTCATCAGCATTTATTTTCACATGCCTTTCCTTCACAAATATTTTGAGGAGTTTACAGAGCAAACAGCAATTAATGCAGCAAAATACAAGCATGTATTTTGAGACCCCAAAATATGCACATCCTAACATACAGAAAATTTTTCTTGGGGGGGGGGGGGAAACTTGATATGAAAAGAGATCAGACCCAAAATTTCAGCAAATGGCCTTTTTCCCCAACACTTCCAGAAAAATTTCAATATTTTTCACAAGTGCACAGTATAGCAAGACTCGCAATTTTTCTTGTCTTCTTGGGATCCTTTTGGTGCCATAAGGTCAAATTCTGCATTATTTACTTCTACACAGCAATATCCTGTATATTTCAAATGATGAACACATTTATCCAATTTTGGGCGATTTATTTCTTGACTTTTTATTTGAGTAAGTTGCCATTGAGGTTTATGGCAAAATAAGATCCAACATGCAGATGTTTCAACATTAGGATAAGGTGCCAATACTAATTACATCTGCATCTCAGGGTCTCACCTTGCATACACATATATAAGCATACAGAGGACATGAGGTGGAAGTTGATGGAGGAAAGGTGTTGAATGGCAGGCATGAAGCAGAGTTACAATTGGATGGCATGTTGTACAACAGAGAAGGCACACATAGTGGTAGTTGCAGCTGTCATGTGAAGGCAGCTGGAACACATCTGGCAACTGTTTTAGAACATGATTAAGTGGTCAGAGAATTTTGTTTATTAGGTTGGACACATCTAGCAGTGGTCAAAATGTTTTGTCCAGCATATTGGGTACATCTAGCAGTGGTAAACATTTTTTGTCCAGCATGTTGAATACATCTTGCAGTGGTCAGACAATTTTTTCCTGCAGTTTGGGCACATCTAGCAGTAGGCATAAAACATGTAGTTGTGGGAATAGCACAGGCAGTACTCTTCAATCCACAAGTGCATTCATTCAAAGCAGTTGAAAACCCATTAGTGGCATTTTCTTCAGTCAAACTTGTGGTTTCTTCATCAGCTGAAGTTGTATCTTCTCCTTCTGAAGTAGTATCTTCTCCTTCTGAAGCAGTATCTGCTCCTTCTGAAGCAGTAGTATCTTCTCCTATAGAAGTATCAGTCTCTCCTCCAACATCAGCAGTAGCCTCTGATCCAATAGAGACAGTTGTCTGCACTCCACCAGCAGTTGCTGTTTCTCCACCTGCAGCAGTTGTTGTTTCTCCATCAGCAGCAGTTGCTGTTTCTCCACCTGCAGCAGTTGCTGTTTCTCCACTTGCAGCAGCAGCAGTTGTTTCTCCATCAGCAGCAGCAGTTGTTTCTCCATCAGCAGCAGCAGCAGCAGTTGTTTCTCCACCAGCAGCAGCAGCAGTTGTTTCTCCACCAGCAGCAGCAGTTGTTTCTCCACCAGCAGCAGCAGCAGTTGTTTCTCCACCAGCAGCAGTTGTTTCTCCACCAGCAGCAGCAGGTGTTGTTTCTTCCGCAGGAGGGTTTTGTTTTCCACCAACAGTATCCTGTTCACGAAGAATCTCTTCTCCACCAGCAACAGTTCTTCCTTTTCCACCATGAGTAGCAGCCTTTTTTCTACCAGTAGTCTCTCCATTATGGGCTTTATCAATGTTGGTTAAAGGATTTTCCTCTTTCTGTGCATCTGTGACATCGTTCATTCTAGAAATTTGCTGGATTCCATTAAACATTTTCACATTTGGATTACTGATGTCCTCAAGCATCTTCATCACTTCTTCCACTTTGGGTATCATTTCATCAATTGCAGAATTGCTCACAGCTGGAAAATGTTCTTGGACTGCTTTCTGTTCAATTGGACTTCGAAAAGTCACTTGGTAAGGCCATGCACTTCTTGCTTTAAGGGCATCATCATGTGCTGAAGATCTAGGACTTTTCAAGGGCTGTTGTATATTTGCTGAGTATTCAACAGGCAACCGGTGTTTTGGAATTGGAAGCCATGCCAAGAAGTTGTTTAGAGGTATGGGCATATTTCGAAAGGTAATTTCATGCTTTTTTGATGGATTGCTATCACGTAATGATGCATCTAAGGCTTGCAGTGCATCAAACATACTTGGAAGATGCTCAGTTGAATCTTGATGACTTTGAAGTAAGGATGTGATGTGAGCAGAATAGGAAATTCCTGCAAAATATTCACGAATTAATTTTGATCAAATGTAAACACAGCACAGTATTGAAGAAGGTACCACGCAGGATGCAAATATTCAACTTCTACACATTTGATACTTATTACAAACAAATTACATTACAAATCATTTTATGCATCTTGAAAGGAATTGAAAGAATAATTAAGAAAATGAACCCCTGCATCCATATTTGCATGCATGTTTTACAATGCAGATTGTGCCAGAGAAAGCTAATTTCAGTGAGAGAAAGTTCAAATAGTTGCAAATTCTATTCAATCAAGATCTCAAAATCAATAAACTTCTGGTTTTCCAGATTTTCTTTTGTCAAATTAGAGAACCCTTTCGTTTTTCTCGCCAATTACATAATCTCAGCATACAGATCCAAAATTCGAATATCTCTTAGCGCAACTATTGCGAAAACAGTCCCAGATTTTGCATATTTACTTACCCACAAATAAACAAGGTAGGAAAATCCGCATGACCACCAGATATTCCTCAGTCAGTTATAATCTTGAGAACATTTGCACGACCAGGTTTGTTCCAGCATCTGCTAAAGGCACTTTGACTGAACAGAAACTTCCTCCTAGATATAGCCCAACCATGTTCATACAAGTGGAAATCAAATTTCCTTCTTGAAAATATCCAGTAAAGTAAACATTGTCATCATGAGACATGTCCCAAGAATTTCCTAATCAACAATATTTACAGTTATAACAGCTCTCACGTCAACTTCCCAACAGAACTGCATTAGTTGAACAAAGCAGCAATACACGGCGTAACACTTTGCAGCTCTTTTGAACTTCAGTTTAAAAAAAAATCAAAAAGATGCACTATATACTATACAGTACATGCCTAAATTTCAATCAACAGTTGGGGCAGCAGAAACTCGATCAACATCAGCAGCTGGCTTCAAGCTTCTCCCACATCTCCGTCATGAGAAGACGCTGGAAATCACTCAAATCTGCACTTCTGGGATTCACTTTTTCTCCATTCTGAGATAAGGTGGAAGCTGTATCCACATTCATCATTAGCTGCATCTTTCAAATCTGATGAGTTCGATTTTATACAGTAACGTAATTATATTTGCTTAAAAAGTAAATTGCTTAAGAAAATCTTCAAGCACGGCTTACCTATGTCTAAATACCTGTTCTAAGCTTCTTCTCATGCATAGAAACTTTAAGTAAGACTGAATAAAACAACGGGGGTTTCAAAAAGCTTGTTACAAATACTGAACAGTATTAGCACCGGAATACTTCCGTATTAGCTGACTTGCGACTGAATACTTCGGTATTAGTAGACTCGAGATGCAGACGATTACGTCCGCATCTCGTGACCCATGCATAATTTCAACTTGGACCGCGGAGCTCGGGAAGTCCATCAACGAAGACAACAGTCCACATTCAACTTCTCTGTGCTCTCGAATTTCTGGTAAAAACGTACGCAGAATTATGCGTCCAAATTCGTGACGCAAATAAAAATTGGTGGAAAAAGAAAATGCCAATACTGTAGATCCTGAATGATCCATTGAAACTTCACCCAGACATGAAACCCTTTATAATTTATAAAATTATTCATGTATACCCAAAAAGGAACCCAGAATAAAGGTCAGAACTCGGGATATGGCGAAGTCAAATGCAATAACTGCCGGTGACATCCAACAATACTAGAAAAATCAATGCGAATGGTGATGAAAACAAAGGAGCGCAATATTTTCTACCAAGTGACATTTTGGGACACCTTCCTTGGAGTAGGGTATTTGAAAATTTTGAACCGAAATTAAAATTGCATGGTCAAATTCTGAAGCACTTACGGCCTCGAAACTACTTTCCAAAGCATGAATACCCATGGTTTATGAGGTCTTCACATGGAGTAAATGGCGAACAAGTGCTTACGGGAACATTTCACGCAGACCCAATTTATTCTTTTTCTCACCGATTCCACTCCATGTACAGTACAATACTGTATTTAATCACCGTGAAGATGCAGCTAAGTCTCCGTTGAGTCCGTGAGGTTCAGCGGTACGGTAGAACCTTTATCGTGCCCAACAGAGATATTGATTAGTCATATTTTGAAAGAAAAATCAATAATTTGTTTGCATAACAAATGCACGATGAATTACCAAGAATGCCAAGATTTTATTTACCCCGCTTTCACGCTTCCCCGAAAATTCTTAAGACGACTCAGAACGCAGGTACAGTACAAAAAAAAATGTACAAAACCATGATAAAAAAAAAATCAACGTCGATGTGCTGAGATGTTGTCCCATTCAGTGGAAGAGGGTTCGCGGCAGAGGCGCTACGAAGCTCTCGCGTCGCTTCACGTCAGTGTCGTACCTTTGAGCCAACTCGCGGACCTTGCCAACGTTCTCTTCACGAATGCGGGCGACCGAGTCGCGGACGGTCGCCTTCCGTTCCGACTGCGTCATGGCGGCGCCGGATTCGAAGTAGGCCGAGCCCGGGGTCCAACGTTCGGCGGCCATCCGCTTCCGGGACTCGCGCTGACCCGAGTCGCACCGCTTGTGCAGATCCGCCGGCGTGCTCGGGGCTTTCGGCACGCGGAATTCCTGTAATCATGCACTTGAAAACTACACTGGCGGCTCGGTTACCAGACGTTCAACGCTTTCATCTGAAAGCTCCGTCAACCGAGAATTCAAAGTTCTGATGAATGGAATACAGTACAAAATTCTTGCCACATTCCCAGAAATAATCATCCACTCAGTAATGTAGAGCTACACGGTACGGCGAATCTGTTGATTACCCGGGCGATTGAAGAGTTTTCGATGTTTTGGATTGTCATGTCCCCGAAGACACCGAACTCAAGTAATTACAGGAAGATTGATTTCCGGATCATTGAAATAACTTTAAAACCACACGTTTTGGAACAACGATTTTCCGGAACTAGGAGGCCATCTTCGTGCCCAGCTACGAGTCCTTACAATTGTTCCACTTAGAAGAAATACGAAATAACAACAGTAACACTCGAAACATGTTGCAATTCAAAGAAAAAAGGCCAAGCCTTTCAGAAACGGCCCCTTTTGGCAAAGCATCTTCGGTTTTGAAAAAAAAGAAGAAATAATTTGTAAATACTGTACAGTATAACCGAAGCAGGGTCTGTTATTCGAAGCAAAATTGTGCAACAGCTCGAGTCACCCGAAGTATCACCGGGGAGTAAATCCCCATTATCCCGTGGATGAATTTTGTTCAGCGAAATTTTCGTAAGGATTCTTTCCCTTAAAAATGCATTATGAATTATCTCATTCGTTCATGACACTCGAAAAAAAAAACCGCGACGAACCTGTAAAATTTAGCATTTTTTTAGTTTCCAGCATAAAATCGTGAACTTGCAGATAATTTTCGTTGAATTCACGTAATTTGGACAAGCTTGAGCATTTGTGCACAAAAGTTGCTAGTGAGACAAAGCTATGCTTTTCTTTTTGCTTTCACCGCATTTTTTTATTTTTATTGCGTCGCAGCCCTAAACTTGCCAAATTTCAGAGTTTCTTGGGCCAAAAATTCCGTTTTGAGAGTCACGTTTTCCCCCTGCAAAATTTCTCAATGCGAATCTGTCGTTACTCGGGGGCTCACTGTGCTCTTCATTATGATCCCCGAAGTGATTTTCAAGAGTATCATTCACAGAACCCCTCGGAAGAGACAACTTACAATGCTTTCCACTGTCCAGACGCCAGCTGAAGGCGAACAGATCGGCTTGAGAGGGATTTGAGAACTAGAAACCGATTTCCGCTGTTTGAGTCGCACTCCTTGCAGCGCGGAAGAGTCAATGACGGCGGTCATCACGCGCCTCGGGTCCTTCGCGTGTCGCCTTCTATGCCGCCTCTTTTTCCCAGCACTGCCGCCAGGGAGACCGAAAACGTCTTGTGCTGGGATCCACGACTCCCGAGCAAGCTCCATGAAAGCGGTTGCTTGGTTTTCCGCGGTCTCCTTGTCCAGTTCCGGATTCTGCAAAAGAAAAGGGGGAACATACAAATCATCAAGTCTCATCAAGCGTGATGATAAAAATGGTATACAAATCCGACTCACAGGCTTGACGATTTCGGAAACATCAAACGGCTTCACAAAGCTGAGTCTCTTGGACTCCAAGGGCTTTTCGGGAGTGTCATCGTCGTTCTCAGTGAGCACCAGGGCTCGCAACGGAGTCGCACGTACAGCAGATCGAAACGTTGTCGGCAGTCCATTGCTCACGGTGTTGGGCTTATTCCGGCGAAGACTGTGAAACCGACCTTGGCTCAGCGGGGCCAGAGGGGTGCGGATGACGGGGGCCTGAGGGGTCTTGAGCGACAGGTTCTCCATATTGTTGGCAGCTTCCGTGCCGAGGGACGCGGAACGACGTCTGTCGATCCTACGCTGACTAGGCGACCTGCCTTTCCTCGATCTGGGAACGGGAAAAATGAACACGGCGAATTTCAGCTTTCAGAATTTGCATTCGTCGAGAAAAATAAATCGCAATTGTGTTCGAAATATTTTTCTAAACCATAGTTCCCACAAATAATTTTGAAAATCTAACCATAAATAAATTTACAGTGTTACCCAGAACACTGTACAGTATGCTGGCGAAGATTTTTGCTTCAAGTAGTAGACCATGTTTCGGATAGCAGACTCCACGAAAAACGATTGTCCTCAACAACAACAAAAAAACATGGCAGTTGTGGGAAATATTCATTCTTTCCATGGATGAAAGCTTCTTCGATACTCCTCATAAACTGCGAGTTGATCCTTGATTTCCCAATACAGTAATAAAATTGTTCAAACGGTAATTCAGGAAAAATTATTATTAATACAATTATTTACGAAAATGAAAAAAATTATGCACACAATTCTGAAAACAATTAGCCAATCCGCGTATTCCAACATGGGACGTTTTGAGGATGTGGTATCAATAATCTGGTCTGTAGAGCAGCACACAGCACTCCATATTCTGGACTATACATAAGAACTGAAGTCCATTAACCGAGACAAAGCCTTTTTTTTTCACCCGCAAAATTCCAATTGAATCCAAGGCGTGCGATGAACGTACCTATTCGTCAACATGGGACTGAGTTCTGCTTTGAGAGATTCTGAACGAAGCCAGGTGTCAGCGAAAGCTTTCTGCACGGAATTCGCCTGTGGCGTCAGAGGGTCATTATCTTCCAGCAAAACGCTTTCCGTTTCCACATTGGCCGGCACTGGGAGATCCTCTTTCTTTTGCAGCTCCACCTGAAGAACATGTATCGACGCATTAAAAATAATTAGGAATAACGAAGTTATGTGAGAATACCTAAAAACTCTTCTCCTGAAGGGTCTCGTAGATTGGTTCAAAAGTAATGGAATGATATGGAAATATTTTCATTTATTACTGGGGTTATAAAATACTGTACGGGTTTGTCGAGGCTAAATGAAAAATTCTTCTTTGTTTCACTTTCTAAAACAGAAATGAATAGCAAAATAACTCATGAACTAGAAAAACAATGCTCAACCAAATCAGTTATATTAAATACGCGTTTATCTCATTGTAAAGAAAGGATTACCGGATTAGGCATTCCATGGCAATTTTCGATCGCCAAAATCCTTGAATAAGGAATGGATCTAGTTTTTCAACTGAGGAAAAATCCTAATCTTGTAAATCACAAAAAAAGGCCCACAATTCTAAAGGAAGGAAACCCTTCCGACAGTTCTGACAGCCCCATACGTTTTCGCAACAGTAGCAATCAAATAAAAATCCATTGATGGAATCGGTTGTTCTCCAACATGAAACATTGATGCAGAAATTCCACTCCTCTCTTCTACAGAAATGAAACTGACCCATATTTCCCTCCGACTCATCCGCTCCGAGCCGGGCATCAGCTTGGGCTGCTTTTCCGCCACAGGTGCCCCGTCGTCCGAGTCGTCATAGAACTTGCTTTGTCCGACGGGATCCCTTGTCGGCGTCAAGAACCTCTTTTTCTTCCGCTTCCGCTCGCTCATCGCCGACGCGGAGATCCGCGAATTCCGCTCAAACTGAGGTCCGTTCGATTCCGGATCTTCCGCATCATCGTCGCGGCGCTGCTGCATCCAATTCTTCATCTTTGCTATTGCTGTAAAATACGTGTACATTATTTTTTGAACCCACGTAGTACCAAAAAAGATGTTGATCAATGATTTTGTAATACGATCCAAAAAAGTGTTGATTAACTACACTATCCCCAGTTGTTCAAGTAGCTGAAGTGTAGTATTTTTGTGGCTCAACCACTTATTTTGATTCACTTCTTATTCCTGCTTCTTCTGGAGATGAAAAAATAAAGAATTCACTCATCGCCCAGGCGATTAATCCACACTCAAGTCAAGTGACGTATACCTCAAAAACAAGGGATCTATCGTTCTGTTTTTGTTTTTTTTTTATTCCAGGGGGAGAGAGATCAAATTTCAAGATATTGTCCCAGTTTTCAAGTCAACACAAATCTGAAATCTCATCTACATCTTAGATCATCTTCGTCAGTGGGGTTCTTCAACAAGGAAGGGATTTTGAGCACCGTTTTAAATCAACCGTTGCTGTTTTTCAGAAATTAATATTTTTCTAAAATGTAATGCATAATGAAATTTTAAATTTGATTTGACGTAGGAAAAATTTCCGCGTGGTACTTACTCCTCGTGACAGATTTGGATCGACGATCACGTCTCGTCGATTTAACCACGTCAAGTTCAGTTAACGAAACAAGTTTCGGCATTTCTCCACCGCTTGTCTTCACGGGAATAATCCCCAGCTTCTCCGAGTTGTCAATGAAGGTCTAACGGATAAAACACGGACGCATTTCAAGTATTGCACAATACAAAAAAAGACGTACAAGTTATATGATCATCCAAATGCCAGGAAGGAAACTCCGGAATTTGATTACGCAGCTTTTTTTGTGAGCTATAAAAATGGGAAAATGTATTTCTCTAAAATAATGCACCATTTCTCTTTCATGATAGCTTCTAAAAATCTGTCCTGGGTCTTCAGCTTTCCTATCGTTCCTACCTTTTGGTAGCGTTGAATTTAATATCGTAAAATTTGAAGGAAGATTCACGAAGGTCACGACAGTAAAGTGAAATTTCATTCAAAGGTGAAACTGTGTCTTCGATATTTTTGCTTCGGTGATATAGCAATTGCAAATACAGTACAGTATCAAGTAATCTTTTTCGTTATGAAGTGATCGAACATTTTCAGTTGAGTCTTTGCTCATTAGCATTTGAGATACACTTTTTATTTCGAATCTGATCCGAAGAATAACATTACATGTCAATAGAAGCCAACATTTAATTAAAAAATACCTGAAATTTTCAAAACCAATTTGTGTCGGCAAGGGGGAACTTCACAAGTGAATCCTAACCTATCGATTGTAAAACCCCAACCAATACAGTATTCAGACACCATCAAGTAAAACATGTCACGAAAATGATGAATTAAACATAAAATGCCATCGAATAGAAAAACTCAACAAATACGCAATGCAATTTTTGATTTGAATTTTAAAACACAAGAAAAATAAAATTTTTGATGGCTTGTTGCATTCGTGGACGCATTATTTCGAATTTTATTTCAAAAATGATGCAATGGCTTTTGCATTGAACCTAAGGTTAACCCTGGTATCCTGCATTCAATCAAATTTTTTATTTTATTTTTTAAAGCAGTAACCTGCAGTATGGCAGGGTAGACGACTTTCAATTCCGTCTCGGACCCGCCAAGCTTCTCCTGGTACAGCAACGTGGGCGCCATGACGATGGCCAGGCACTTGGAGTCCATGTGGGACACGTGCGCGTTGGCCGCGATGCCGGCAAACAGGTCGCACAGCAGACACAACACGGCCAGGTGGGTCTCGGGCAGAAGCATGGCAGTACGCAGCACACCGACGGCGTCCGACCGCCGCATGCACCGCTTCATCAGGGACGTGTGGTACTTGGGCACCACGGGCTCCGGCAGCTCCTTCAACAGGCTCCGCAGCACCGCCACCACGTCGTGCACCGTGGCATCCTTGTCCGGAAGAGCGCCTTCCGCTTTCAGCTTTTCCTGCAAGAGCATTTGCAAAATTCGGTAAAATATTCTGGTAACGAACTCCCAACTCCCCTAGAGACCTGCTGACAAATTCTTCATGAAAGATGTCATGGCTTGTAATACACTTTCAGCTGACATTTTGTGAGAAACAGGCAATGAATACTAATTTAATTTAAATAATAAATTAACTAATAAGTAATAATTTAAATAATAAAATGAGTAATAATTTAAATAATAAAATGAGTAATTTAAATAATAAAATAAGTAATAATTTAAATAATAAAATAAGTAATAATTTAAATAATAAAATAAATAATAATTAAAATAATAAATTAACTAATATGTAAAAGTTTACATAATAAACTAATGAGTAATAATTTAAATAATAAATTAACTAATAAGTGATAATTTAAATACAGTAATAAATTAACTAATAAGAAATAATTTAAATTATAAATTAACTAATAAGCAATAATTTAAATTCAAAGTGCTTCCAAATCAGAGATCAGTTGGGTATTTTCAGCATTTCCGAATACAGTACATGTATTACTGATGACATGAAAAAAAAATTCAAAACACTTCTTACTTTCCTTGCCTGCCAGTTTCGAATTTATTAGAACTGTATTAATCGTGCTGAAATATAAACTGCAACTAAAGATACATGCGATAAGAAAATTACTTATTCAAATGTATGCATATCCCCTGGAATAGAGCGATTGATTCAGAACACATTGCTTTTTTTTTCGAAAGGAAGGAAACATTTGTAATTCACTAAATAAAGCTAAAGAATTTCTGATCACAATTCACAACATTGTGCACACTAAATTTCATAAAACATAGTAATTTTATGCTTTCGAAGAACGCAGAAAAAATTATTGTGCTCTTTTCAAGAACAGGATTTCCCAAATATGCCGAGGAAAAATGTGAAATTTGCACAATCTTTCTCTTGGAGTATATTTATTTTCATACACGATGACAGAACATTGCCGATTCATCATTTTGCTTCGAACACCAAACATAAGCACATGAAGAAGTGGATTAATCGATAATCACGTAAATACTGCATTTCCCGGCTTCGGTAAATTCTAGAAAATCAAAGCTCGAAGTTTTCCCGAAAAACATCGTCGCTTACAGTTTATTTTCCAATCATCATCCGAATCGCACAGAAGATTATCCATAACTTCCGATGGTTTTCCGGATGAACCGAATTCAAAATCCCTCAAGCCGTTTAACCGCGTATTTAGACTCAAGTACTGTACATGTACTTCTTCGAAAACCCAACTCGGCAAAAATACGCGCGTCTTCCGCGGAAACCCAAGTTCACGATTTCGTGGAATGGGTTCGGGCTGTACTGTAGACAGGGGATTCCCACATTCTCCGATCTCATGCCAATCAGAAAAAGGAAAAAAACCCACGTTCTTCCTCGCTGATCATCAACAAGCTTGAGATCTCAATCGAGGGATTCTCAGCCGGTGGTAAGACGCACCACGGTGTGGTACGTGAGTCACTTTCTGGGTGGCTCCATTGAAAAAATAGTAAGAACATTGAGTGTACAACGCGAATTCCTGTGTTCAGAACTCTAGTGAAAGATAATAATGGTAGGCATTGTGTAATTCGGTAATCAAAAATAAATAATTCCAGGCTGATTTATCAAGTGCAATAATAATTGACTTATACCGTATTTAATCGAATACAAGACGTAATCAAATGTGAGATACACTCAGAATAGTACACGAAACGCTATTGATATAATTGACGTCATTCGTGAGGAACACGTTTCAAACGTTTCAATGCATCACACATTGTATTTCCAGGACGAAAAAGTTCCTAGATTTTTACTCATTCTTCAGTTACCAGCTTCATTTCCTCAAACGATGAACATGAATCACAAATCTTGGATTAAAAAACCATTGAAAACAAAGCGATAACGAAGATCAGTTCCAAATTATAATTTGCGAGTGTTCAATTTTTGAAATCGTGTTTGCCAGAGGAAATAGAAGCTGACCAGCGTATCTAAGACGGTATCGAGAATTGTACACTCCCTCAATTCCACAGAGTGTCTCATACTCGAGAAAATATATGACCTCAAGTTGACTTTTTTTTTCAATACTTTTTCAAAGAAAGGCTGAAAAGCGAAACACCCTCAAGGAGGACTCTCTACAACGAAATTCAAAGTAAAAAAAAAATGTTGGTACAAAGAATATCGTCGTAGACATGATCGTTGTTCCTCTCTATTAAGAAAACCTAAGAACAACAAAAAAACAACAAAAAAACATATTCAATAAACAATTCTGCTCGCCTCTAAAAATAATACCGCAAATCTCCAGTAGCTAGCCTTGATTCGTTAACGGAAAGTACACTACTCGGAACTTCGGAAGGGAAATACTTAAACGTAAGGTGATGACCTTCCAGCACGTTCTCACAACTCACCAGTATGAGTTGATGCTATTGATACGAATGACGTACTTCCCACACTTTCAAATAACTTCCTCGTTCCGCACTACTCGCGGAGTTCCGGAATGAAGAAAATGCGGAGAAAAAAAAAGAATGCGTAGGAAAATGAGACGAAGCGAAAATTTACCAAAGAGAATCGTTCTTTACTTTAAACTGGATAAAACCGTTGAAAAATATACTCAGATTAGGGGTGAAAAATACAGTAAGATAAAAAGATCTCTGCCCTAAATTTCGTCAACGGGATTCAAGTTTACAATAACAAAAATTACTCTACTTCATTTCACGGCAAAAAATAAAATTCCGGATTGAAAAAAATGCCACTGAGCAAAATTGCACGCGTAGAAAATCCACAAAAGAGAAGATTCACAAGTAAATTCTGTATCGTACTTTAACGTATGGCAAATCCGAGCGAACGGTCAAAATATACAGTACAGTACCGTACTTTCAACGATGGGTGAATCCGTCCTAAATTTGATCAGTGGGACTAACATTGCAATAAGATGCTCAATTTTAAATTACGGCAAATATTCCGGAATGAAGAAAATACTGCAGAAAAAAAAAAGCCTGAGCGGAAAATTTATAAAATATAGAAGATTCCCAACCAAATGCAGTACTGTACTGTACCTCGGAGCAAGGCGTTGGAATAATGTACACTACATGAAGTACTTTAATGGTTGGTGCAACATAAAGCATGGAACAAACCTCGTTCTCGATTTATGGATTCAACTATACAATTGGGTACTCAATTTTAATTCACAGCTAATCTAGATACGTTGTTCAAAAGTCATGGGAACAATATTCCGGAATACGTGAATATGTACGCTAATGCATGACAATATTCCATCCCAAACTAATAGAGTCGGATTCGTGCTGGACCACAAATTCAACTGCTTGATATTTTCCCAGGTCTTCTTTCTCAAGAAAAAATTCCATGGCGTTATTTCTCATAGATCCTGTACAACATTCTTCACAAAACGTTACCGTTTCCATGTGAAAAATAACATTCCTATTGCTAGGGTATTTGGAATTGGCGAGTTCAACAAACTCGGTTGAAATACTGTAATATCACATTTTTCTTTGCTGTTCACCCGGCCATTCGTAATCGGATTACCGGCATTCCGATTCAGATATTTGTTGATAATTCTAAAATAAATTTCAAATTCTAGTGCTTGAGCTACAATAGTACGATATTGGCTGTTTAGGCATACTGGATTATTCTCAGCTAAAATAGCCCTTCACTTCAGTCCAAGAAACTTACAGAAGCATTCGTTCGAATACAGTACTGTATCTGCACTTTTATAGTGCTCCAGAAAAAAACCCCACACTGAAAGAAGAGATGGGTTTAAATAGAAGAAACATTAATAAATGGATGTCCTTGTAGGAAATGAATAAATGGCCCCTTACCCCCAGAGTTACCAAACTTCCTTCACCATTCAACCCAACCCCTCAACCCGGCGTACAGAAGATCGACCAACTGGAAAACCAACCAAGAAGGGCTTAAGCCTTTTTTTCAATCCTCTTCGGCGCCATTCGGAAGTTTTGGCAAGACCCAGGCTTGTATTTCAGTAAAAATCGGCAATTGGCTGCCTGGAAATATCCGGCAGCCCTCAGAATTAAAAATTTTTTTTTATACATGTAACATGGCCACAATTTTTCTCCCATCTCCTAGAATACGGTAACAAGACTCAACGGCAACCGGTACCCAACCAAAAGCCCCCCACCCCACTTTTCTTTGGATTCAAGTTTCATAAGTGTTTCGTGGCCCTGAGAAGGGCTGCTTGGTTTCATTAGTCCTCAAAATGACTGTTGAATAATCATCTTCAAAATTGCCTTCTGTAGCCTCTTCCTCAGTGTCACTGAAGCTCTCAATGTCATTTTCTTCTCAATGTGGCCCTCTTATCGCGTCTCCTTCTTCATTAGCATATTTCCAGCACCTAGTACTGGCATATGTGCTCTTAACCATGAATAAATAGCCATTGCAGTATGCCTTTTCACCACCCTTCTGGATTTTGATGATCTGAAGTGCACCAGCCATTGGACCAACAAGGTGAACTGTAGATTTTGCAGATGACCACTGCAGGTGAGGAATCCCTTTATATACTCAATTGTTGCACCAAAAATAACCTAGGGGGTCTTTTGACCTTGGGGGTGTTATCCCAAACTGTCAGGTGTAAATAAACCTTATAAGAAACTTCACAAGAACGTCTTCTTGTTTTCAGATCTTTCAAGTTCTACCCGATGATTACTCGTTGAGATAATCTTTGTCGAGAAGCTTCAGTCTTATGGCCGGAGTAAAGTGAATGAGACGACTTCTCTTTCAATTTAATACGTATATTTCTGATGCAGCGCAACAACAGTCCAGACCAGCAATGAGCGACAAGAGAAGCGTTCGGACGCTCCTTTATAGACAAAGTATGCGCGGAAATAGTTAGCACCACTCACTCCGGGTAAAAAGAAGAAAACGGCTGCGCCAATTTTGTTATCCCAAACTGTCAGGTGTAAATAAACCTTATAAGAAACTTCACAAGAACGTCTTCTTGTTTTCAGATCTTTCAAGTTCTACCTGATGATTA